AGAGATGATCTACTCATTCCATAGCATCATAATTACTAAAATATATCTCCTTCCCATATTTCTCTTTCTAGAGCCCTAACCCCTATTCTCTCGGAACTCTCTCGGCCAAACCTCTTAGCCGCCGGTCATGTTTGATATCACCTTTGTATCATTCGAAGATATATAGACACTCGGACATGTATTTATCGTGTTTTGAAATAATATTTAATTTTTTAAAAGTTTGACATTTAATTAAAAATAATGCTAATATCTATTTTAATCATAATTTATCTAAAGGGTTTCTATTCGAAGCATTTTAAACGAAATTGTTTTGAATTCTGTCTAAACCGTAGCCGATATAAAAAAGATACTTTACATCTATTTTTTCTTTCTAGTCACTACGATAACAACATGATAACTTATGCTTGTTTTAATATTTTCATTAGTCGTTTGATGAGACCAAATATTTTTTTCGTATCGTATCTTGTAGAACTTTAGATATTGTTTTAAATAATGAAATCTATACTTTTTATTGACATACAATTTGTAAATAAGGTAATTTTAAAAATGCAATTTTGTACGTTCTTTGAAATGGAAAGAAAGAAAATTAGGGGAGGGAGTAAAATAATCAATTAAACCATAATGGAACACTACCCATCCAAAATAGAAATATTTGCACTAAATAGCACTAAAACTTAAGTCATTTCTCTAAATAGCACTTAAACGGTTTTATTCTGTAAATAGCACTTATAATGTCCATAATGTCCAGTGATGGCGAAATTTTGCTTGAATAATGACTAATGCATAATGACTAAAAGTGCTACATTGGAAAGAAAAACATATGTAGTGCTATTTAGAGAAAGTCATTATGTTTTAGTGTTATTTAGGTAAATTCCTCTCCAAAATAAAGAAAATTCTATTTGTACCTCATATTTATACTCATTTGGTAACCTACGTATTTGCACTGACATTAAATATAAGTGCAAAACTGATATTATGTGAGTATTGTACTTAAATTCTATATCAAGACAAATCTTTAGGGTACAAAATGGGATAAGAGTAACACAACCAATCATAAATAATTATTTCTTGTTATACATCTTCCAATCCTCCTATATACAATGGTAAGAGGAGCTTATGAACAGTGTTCCCGCCTAAATGATGGAGCTGCCTTCTCGGATGGGCCTGACTGGCGATGGGCTGACTACTCGAATATGGGCCTGTCTATTTGTGTCTAAATAAAAAGTGATGGCAAATCAAAATTTGGTGCGCTGCTCTAGAAATATTTGGTGGGTTGCTCAAAAAAAATCGGTGCATTATTCAAGAAATATTTGGTGTGTTGCTCAAGAGATATAGCTACCTATTCAATAAAGTAAAAGATATTGCTTTGTTCAAGAAAAGCTTTATACTGTGGGCACGGCAGCCATCAAACCAAGCACTACTTTTATGTAAAAATTACTTTATGTCTCATTCAACATTAAATGTTGAGATTGTGAAATCTTTAAAGGACTTGGACAATTAATGCATTAGAGTGAGGTGTCTCATTAAACCTGCTATTTATACATTAATACTCCGTGCAAGATTCACCACAAACAAAGCCAAGTTATCTTACATCCAAGTTTCATACACCCATTTCCGGTAGTCTTTTGTTCATCCGGCTTGACTTCTCCAGGTATTGAGATCATATCCGTGACTTTATGGTGAAAAGAAAAGTAACCATCAACATATCGATACATGTATAAAAAAGAATATATGCTTTTTAATACGGAGTATGTAATATAAAACAGTATACAAAATAAGGTTTGAAAAAATTTCATAGATATTGTTTTTATATAGTAATATTTATATCAACATGCCACAATTTAAAAAATTATTGCTGCAAGTACTACTCTAAAAACAATAAAAATAGGATTAACATGTTAGGAGATTAAGAAATAATTCTATAATTAAATAAACACAAGGTAAATTAGATGGAGATTAAGAAATAATTCTATAATTAAATAAAGGGTGTTTTGATTTACAAATATATGTATTTGTGTATTATAATTAAAAATATCTGGATAGGTATACGTAGTAATTTATATAGGCTTAGATTTTTCAAATATGAATATATTTGTGTGTGTGTGTGTGTCTATATATATAAATTTAAAACTGCATTGACACATATCAAATTTTAAAATTGAAATTCTTAAGAAAATAAATTTAAAACTGCATTGACACATATCAAATTTTAAAAATTATGTTTTTTGAAAATTATATAAGAATACATGTAAAATTAGGTTGAAGATGGTAACAATAGATGTAAAATTTCACCACCATGTACTCCGTATTATAAAAGTAACAAATTTTTTTTTTAATGGTAACAATACATGTTAGAAAAATTCAGTATATGTTACAAATTTAATAGTAGATGACAATAAAAAAAACTTTTCAAAAAAAATGATATCAAATATGCTTTAATTTAAATACATCTGTTTTTAAAAATCAATGTAAGTATGATGATATGAAATTAATCAAATTTCATAATTTTGAAAATGCACAAGGAAGCAAACTGGATCCTACATATTTATTGACCATATATATATATACACACACACACACACACACACAAAAATAAAGAATTTCTTGAAGATGAAAATAATTAGAACAAGACATGAAAAAACATTTTTTGACTTTTCAAAAGATTTTCGATTCATTTATGAAGCTATTCACTAAAAACATAAAATTTAACATGCATTGTGTTATTAAACAGATCTAAAATTTTTATACATTCATAAAATTAAAAATATCCTCTGAAATTTTTAAAACTGTAATAAATCAACATATCTTACAAAAATTCTAACCCTTAATAAATGTGAGTATGACTGGAAAGCAAAATTACGAACAAAGAAATAAAGATACCAACGAAGAATGACATGATAAACCGGCACTGAAAACCTCCACCGCCGATCCTATCAAAGCAAAGAAGATGGGCAGATCTAGAATTGGAGAGAAGCAACGGCGTATGTCTGTGGCCGAAATGCCTCCAGTGATAAGATGGGCATCAAATATAATGTTTAATTGAAGGGCCAATTATTGTTTTGGGCTTTTTAATGGATATGGGCTGATTCATGGATTTGGATTATTTAAAGCAGTTGTGTTAGTTTTTATTAGAGTAAATTCTATAATTGGTCCTTTATAACAGTGAGGTTTCCATATTTAGTCCTATGTCATCATATATTACCCCCGTAGTCCTTTTTTTAAGGGCGCCTTTCCACAAATGGTCCCTTTTTTGATCTTTTGCCATGTCGGTGTTAATTTAAAGGCTAAAAATATAATTTGACATCAACATTATGTCCAGTGACGTGTTCTGATATTGGTTAAGCGGATAACATAAAAATAATGACTATGATTGTGGGCTACGATTCCAACGAAAGACCACATTTGTAGACTATGGTTGTAGTAGAAAGCGACTATAATTCACAAACGACGCAAACGGAACAGCCTATGGAATTGTGTATGATAAAAAAGATATATTATCATTGTGAAATTACACTTTTAGCCCTCAAATTAACACCAACATGATAGAAGATAAAAAAAGGACTATTTGTGGAAAGATACTCATAAAAAAAGACCACGAGTAATATTTGATAAAAAAAGACCACTAGGGAAAGATACTCTTTTTATTAGAATAATATGATAATACGGAGTACATAAATATGTTTTCCTAAAAAAATTAAAGGGCTGGGATTTTAAATGTTTTTTCAAAAAAAATTAAGTTATTTTATTTATTGAGCAATTATAACAAGAATTGGTAGTTGGTTGAGTCCATGTTACAAGTGCAAGAGTACTCAAGAATCTGAATTTATGGAAGATGGTTGGAAATGCTTTACCGTACGTAGTCATTTTACGTGCTTACAAATTGGTGACGTGAGTTGGGGATTATTTTTCATTTGTGATGACTGTGCGATACGGACACCGCCTATACTCACACCACCTTTAGCGCGATGATCTGAAAAACTTAAAATTCCAAACAAAAAGTATTTCAATCATCAGTATGTCATTGATTAAGATTATGAATTACTCCCTCCGTCCGGAAATATTCTTCCCGTGTTGACTTGGCACGCTTATTAAGGAATAGTAAAAAAAATGCAAAATTTTCAAAAATGCACCTACTATAAACTTTTAAATCTCCTTTTATTATTAAAAAAGTACTAAAAAAGTAGATTTGTAATAAAATAGAAGGATATTATTGATATTTATCCTTAAAAAGTATACTATGAAAGGAAATGGGGAGAATATTTCCGGACGAACCAAAAAGGAAAGTGGGAAGAATATTTCCAGAAGGAGGGAGTAGCAATTATCAATATGTTCATAAGATAATTAATGTTGTTACTTTTGTATTGTACGGTTCTATAATGGTAGAACAATTTTTAAAAACTTTCAACATGTAATCTATAAGAAATGTCAATATTTCTATTCATATTATGATTATGACCAATATTGGTTTTTGTTATAAAATTGCTATTTCATAACATTACCTATTCATTGACACATTGTTCAATGTATTACTACTCTTCTATTTCTTTTTATTTGATTCTATTTAAGTGTAAAATCATTAATATGCACTTCAAAATTTATATTTATGACATATCTCGAAAATTATTTGAATAGAAAATAGAAGACCCAAAATTTCAAAAGATAATTACACATCAATTCAACAAGTTTTGTTGGAGTAAATTCGAGGACAAACTCTCTCTTGCATCCACTAAAAACATCATCCATGCAAGATATGTTCACTCCATCACCATTACTGAACTTAACTAACGAATGGTATGTTCATTCAATCTTTTTTTCTATGTTGCAATTTCACGTGTTACAAGTCGTTAATGGTTAAAAATCTTAATATGGAATAAAGGCCTTCCTTCAACGAACAAAACTACGAATATAATTTATAAAGAAGTGTTCCAAAACTTATAACACTGCATTTCGACTAATGGCGTTACTGTACACTACATTATTTAATTTGGGCAATTATCATAAAATTTGTAATCTCTTTATTTTTTTTAACATTTTATGTTATTCCAATTCAAGAGTTATTTGAGTTTTTTTACTTCCCGTGCATCGCACGGGTACGAGTCTAGTTAAATCAGAACCAAATAAATTACTCCTTAGGCCATGTCAAATGGACGGACAACCAAGTCATATGGCTGAAAACCATCCTGATGGTTCTTGAATCATCGTCATGGGTTCAGTTGTTAGGCCAAACCCAAACGGGAAGAGAGGATCATAATTAGGGTCGCCGACGTTCATCGGAAGCTGATCGACTGACCTGAACCATGTCCGGGCAAGTTTTCCGGCGAATCCGTAATCCCCAAACAGCGCATCGGCCACGCCCTGCCCTTCACTTCCCGGCAGCCAAGCTGCAACAAGCGCATCAATCTTCGCCACATACGGCTCCATCACCACCGGCCGTCCGGAGACCACGACCACCACGCATTTGACGGCGGCGCAGACAGTATCGATGACGCTTCCTCCAGGTTCGGCCACGGTGAGGTTCGTGCTGTCCCCGAGAAACTCCGTGTACGGGGTCTCACCCACAACAACAATGGCGTACGAGAATTGGTTGGATTCGAGGAACTCCGATTCCGGGTTTTCTTGATAGACCACTTCTGTTGATGGATCGACGGCCTTCTTCACGGCAGTTAAAATGGTGGTTCCTGCGATTTTTCTCATTGGGTAATTTTAACAAACACCTTTGGCAGTTTGAATGATGGAGCGAAAAGAAACACTAGAGTAGAAAGGCATACCAAGTGTAAGATCATTGCCGCCAATGCCCTGCCATTCAATGGTCCAGCCTCCACATTGATACCCAAGATTGTGAGCGTGGGTCCCAGCCACAAGGATCTTTGGGGCTTTCTTAGGAAGGGGCAACAATGGCTGGTTAGCCAATTTGCCATTCTTTAGAAGCACAAGGGATTTCCTCACAGCTTCCCTAGCCAGCTCTCTGTGTTCCTGCCAAAAAAAAAAAATCATACAAAAATGGATCATATGGAATTGAAGATATCCCAATATACAATGGCATTGAAGTTAAAGGAGAATGAATATACCTGGCTGCCAAGATGGGTTGCCATGCCGAGATCGACCATCGGGTCCTCAAAGAGGCCCATCACAAACTTAACCCTTAATATTCTTGTGACTGCATCATCAATCCTACTCATTGGGATGGCCTTCTTCTTCACCAGGGATGTTAAATCTTCAATGAATTCTTCATAGTCCAACGGCACCATTACCTGCATTCCGCACAACTTTAAAAGCAGAACCTTGTGATCAAATGTATTCACTCGTTCTGTCGAAGGGTGGGTGATTTGGGCATTTCCCTAAACTAAAATGATTTCCATGCACATTCTTTTGGAGCTCACCATGTCAATTCCTGCGAGAATTCCAGCTTGAACAGAGTAAGAGTAGTTAGCATGAGAGGGAGTAGTGATCCTGTCAAGCCCTCCCCAGTCAGAAATGACAAATCCCTGAAAGAAGTTGCCAATGTTTAAAAAAATGCATAATTTCATTTAAAAAAGTGGAATTATCTGTCATTCTGCAATGCTTAAATACCTTGAACTTGAGCTTGTTCTTGAGGAATCCGGTTATTAGGTCGCGATTAGCGTGCATCTTCTCGCCGTTCCAGCTTGAGTATGAAACCATAACAGTTGCAACACCCTTCCGGATCGAGTCGTTGTACGCTGGCATGTGAATGCTAAGCAAACCATTCATGTCGATTATGGTGTTGCTCTCGTCGACACCCTTGTCCGTACCTCCATCCCCGACAAAATGCTTGGCACACCCTAAAACTTTTGTCCTTGATAACATAAAACCCGTCGTTTTGGAACAGTTTAGTGATCAAGAAAGTGCTTAAAGTTCTTGGCATTGTAATGGAAAAGAAGTGCAGAAGGACAAGATCCATACTTTCCTGCAACGAATGGAAAACCGGAGGAATTAGCAGGGGGGTCTCCTTGTAAACCAGGTATGATCTCGGTCATCATTTGCACAATTTCATGATCTTCGCTGTAGCTTTCATAACAACGGCCCCATCGAGGATCTCTACATACCTTGCGAGAGATAGTCCAAAATATATTACCCAAACATAAAATACCCAAAAAGTATTGAAGCATTCTATGTCAATATAACACCTACTGCAATGCAGGGAGCAAAGGCATAATTTATTCCAGTAGCTCTAACTTCAAGTGCAGTTGCAGCTCCAATCCTTTTCACCAATTCCGGATCCCTGCCAACAAACAAAAAATGCACAATTTCAAGAACCATTAGCTTCGAGCCTGAATTCTTGAGTGGTAGGAAGCGGACTCAAATTCGAGCCCCACCGGAAGCGGAGGCATTGGCTTTTTATGCATCATTAAGTTGAGAAAAGTATGAACAGATACTACAATGTAATCCAGTCAATAGCACCCCAAAACAAAATCGAGCCTTAAAACTGCCATCCTACGTGTGGAGACACAAACCTGGTAGCACCAAGTCCAATGTTGTGAGGGAAAATGGTGGCCTTGTAAGCATTATTGTTGCCGTGAACGGCATCAATTCCATAAACCATAGGAATGGCAAGGCGGGTGGAGAGAGCCGCTCTTTGAAAGCCGTTAACCATGTTAATCCATTGCTCCGCTGTGGCCTTGGGTGCTGGCACACTCCCTCCACCACTCAAAAGACTCCCTGCACATCATCAAATCCTTCTCTATCACATCACAAGTACTATTTTGAAGAATCTATACACCACTAGTTATGGAAGGACAATAAGAATACCTATAAAATATCTCTGTATAACCTCAGATGTTGCAACTTTCCTCTCAATCTGAGTCATTTGGCCAATCTTCTCCTCAAGGGTCATCCTCTTCATCAAGTCATTGATTCTTACATCCACAGGCTGCCGGGGGTCCCTATACTTCATGTACTCTGCCCCCTCGGAAACCCCATACATGACGACGAAGCACAGTAGCCATAATGGCACAAATCCCATCTTTGGTTTTGCACATTTCACCAACACCCCCATTGATCTCCTCACTATCTGCTTAGAATCCTGCACAATGCAAACCAGACATTGTTGAAAAAATCTCATATTTTTTTTTTTTCAAAAATGAATTTAAAATGTCAACAAGTCATTCGAAGGAGTTTGATATTCATTTAAGAACCAGATAATACGCATTAGAACCATGCATAATGCACACACCTTGACAAAAACAACTACTGGTTTATCCGAATGGCCAAAAGAAATAATTTGGAGAAATAGAAACGGTCGAGGAGTTGAATGCCTGGCTAAGGATTTTTATGGGCACGCCCCATTTATATGGAATGCAGTTGGTCCAAGTTGGCCAAGCTGGGAATAGATAAAAGAACTTCCTCTACCTTTTATATACTTCCACCCCTACCCATAAAGATATTTCCATTTTTGGTGTATAATATTCGATTGCAGTTAGTATTACTTCAATTTATATAAGAATTAAATTACTCGTATGCATTTAAGTCCTACATGACTTGTTCTATTAGTAGAAAATAAGGGGTGACATGACTATTTTATTTTATCAAATGAATAATTAAAGATTGTAATGAAAGAAAGTATGGTTTGAACGCGTGAATAGTAATGTAAAACTCTTTTTCGAGACAAAGGGAGTATTATCAACGAGTTATCTTTGCAATTCACTATCGACAGTGATGGCTAGTTTGTTTGGTATTAGTTTTAGAGCTTAATTTACTCGTCCGTTTGGTGAGTACGGGAGAAACTGGTTCTGATATCAAAACTTTTTTTGGTGTTTGGTTAAGAATAAAAAATTTGAATTTGATGTCCTAGATACCACAAACCCTCTATATAGAGTGCTCTGATATCTTTCGAATTTTGAAGATATCAATATGAGGATTTTATATTTTTTTTTCAACCGTCGACTCCCCCTTGCACGACTACCACTTTCACCACCAACAATTATGTTATTAGTCATTCCTGCCTATCACAGATTAAATCATGATTTCAAATCTCTTTAAATAACTTTATTTTAGGTTTCATAAATTATACTATTTCTTGTAAATTTCAATATTCATATCATATCATACTTACAAAACTCTCCAAACGGACAAGTGCTTTGAAAATATAATCTCATACCGCTACAAGTGGTGTCAGATCATGACGCCAATTAAATTGGGTCACCTACAATATTGTGCTCGTATAATTAACGGTACATACTCTTCATAACCCCCCTCATATATCCCACCCCATAAGTTCTCTTGAGTTTCAGGGTCAAAATTTTGACCAAAATATCAATAAAAAACTTATATGGTGCCACTGGACAGGTTATGATGGTTGTGAAGGAGCTAAGGTTGGGGATGGGAGTTTATGAGGAATATATAAGATCATCAATTTTACGAAAAAATGATCATAGGTGTCCCGATTTAACAGGTATTACGGTCTTACACACCACTTGGAGTAGTGTAAAATTATAATTTTCCAAACAAATAAAATTTACCTATTACTCCATCCGTCCTAATTTAAAGAGAAAAACACAAAAGTAGAAGTAGAACATTGAAAATATATCAAAATATGACTTCCATGTTTTTATTCCCAAAATAATAGTTAAAATACACTTACATTACCAAACATGGTCATGTATATTACCAAAAACTATAGTAATGTGCACATGTACAGTGACACATCACCACAGTGCGAAGTCCTATTTTGATAGTAAAAACATGAAGGTTCTATTTTTGTACTTTTCTCTATGTTTTAGTTTTATTTAGGATGATTTCTACCATTTGAATCGTCTATTGTTTACGAGGTTTGGCTGAAATCATTTTTTATTTAATTTAGTAAAAAATTGGTATAGCACTAATAAATAAAATTTATATATTTAAAAACTATATCAAAAAATCTACAAAATATAAAATTATATTATTTTAATTTTATCAAAGGTTGTAAAAAGTTGATCGAAAAAATCAAAACTAGGCAAATATTCAAAAAACGGAGATAATACTAATTCCGAGTCCTATATGGAGCAAATTTATCTACTTTATTTCATGAATAAAAAAGAAAGAATGGCTAAAAGAAATAATTTGAAGAAATGGAAACGTGGGTCAGAGCATTGACTGCTGCAGGCTAAAGATATGTATGGGCGCGCCCCCATACCATACACCTCATATATAATGCAAGAAAAATGCTAGGGTTACACCAAAGGTACCCCATTTGTCCCCCACCCCTTCCATTACCACAAAAATGGGCAAAAATTTTTAAAAAAAATTAAATAAATAAAAAGTAGATAAAAATGAATGGTGGAAAAGGGGGTGGGGGACAAATGGGGTACACATTTGGTACCCTAGCATGGCTCATAATGCAATGCAGCCAGTCCAAGTTGGCTTAGTTCGGAATAGATATAAACACTTGTCAACTTTCTTTACCATCACCTATTTATTTACACTGTTCCAACAACATGTAACTATCTTTTTGTAAATAATATTATCTATAAAATTATGTAGAAATAAAAATTACTTATCTTAAAATTACATCAAAACTTTCATAAAATAAAATGTGTCAAAATATTTATTTTATCAAATGATCAATAAAAACACGTTAATAAAAAAAAGTTATCAGGATGCTCAAATAAGAGGTATAAAATTATTGTATACTTCGTAAAAGAGTACCGTGACGTTTTCTTTACAATTTACTAATGGCAAGCAGTTCCACTTGCATTTGTTCAGAGTTTGACTTCAATATTTAAAAAAAAAGTAATTAGCAATAATTTTTTATCTGATTAGTTCTAATCTGATTAGAATAAATTGTGATTTGATCAGGTTTGATCTGAATGTAGTTAAATTTAAAGCTATTTCTAATCTGATCTGGTTTGATCTGAACAATCTGATCCAAACTGATTCCAATAAGAATAAGTACCACCGTCTCAGAATATTTGTCTAGTTTTAACTTTTTCCAGTCAACCATTTTCAACTTTTTGACTTATAATTAAATAAAATATATATTATATATTTATTAGATAAAATAATATTCTAAAAATATTTTATATGATAAATCTAATAAAACTGTTTTTTATCAATATCTAATACAATACTCCGTATCATTTTCATTTAATTTGGAATCAAATTTTACCAATTTTGACGAAAAAAAGTTAAAAGTGAACAAATGCTCTGGGACGAAGAGAGTAAATAATATGAATAAGTTAAAGAGAACACACTCTTAGTCAAAACGGGAAAACTAAGACCTATTTGTATTACTCATAAGTAATTCATCAATGAACATATAAGCCAAAAATAACTTATAAGTTGATTTGACCCCCTAAACGAGTAACTACCAAGTTTAGGAACGAAAATTTTCAGTTTTGAGTGAACTTATAAGCTAAAAATAACTTTAGAGTGTAAGAGGCATGAGCGGCTTGAAGGACGTGCAAAGTGGCCAACCGCACAAGGCCTCTAAAATTTTAGGGCCTCATTCAACATTAATTTTACAGTGTAAGTACTCTGAAAAAATAAAATGAGGTCGAAAACGTCAATTTTGCACAAGACAAATTTCACTTTTTCATATTTTTGAGCCAGCCTAAGGTTTTCAAACGTGTAGGGAATGTAGCTTATCGGTTGGAGCTGCCGAAAATAAGAGAAGAAAGCAAGATTGACTTCTTTTATTGTTTGGATTCATCCGCTTCCTTCTCTGAGTCTTCTTTATTTAGAGTCTCTTTTCTTATGTTCCTATTGTCGAATCGAAAGCAAGATTGACTGCGAACTTGCTCAAAGCTTATAGGTTCTCGAATGGTTTCATGCCCTGCGGTTTCCCGTCTTTCCTTTAACACTAGACTTTGTTAATACTTTTCAAAAGTGGAGTGAAGGCAAACAAGCATAGGTGCTCTGGTCAATAGGCAAGCTAGCAAGCCCTCCCCGGTAGTAGCTCTCTTCTGTTATGAGAGATCGGGGATAAGACGAATCGTATAAGCCTGAACCCTATAAATTATACGCATAGAGAAACACGTGCTAAAAAAAGGAATGGGGGAGGGAAAAGTAGGAAGAAACCCATTCCAATAATACCAGTCTGATATAACAAGTCTTGCAATAAAACTTTCTGTGTACATTTGGCAATAGCTTGACTTTCAATCAATTGAGACCAATGATTCATCAAACGTTAAAACGACAAACAAAACCTTTGCACCTTTGCATCTCACAGCTCTTCACATTAAGCAAAGTGCAGATGATCATGACCCTTTTCCATGCATATTGAAGCTCACGAACGAAAGACAAGACAGACACCAATGGAGAAACAAAAGCAATACTCCGTACAATACATACTTACATTATCCACCAAACTGTGCAGATTGGCAGTTTCAGACACGAAAACTTCCCAGTCCTGTTGCTTCGCCAATAGTTTCACTGTAATACTCGTTGAAATTGATGTAATCCCAGAGACGCGAGATGCCAAATTCATCGTGTTTGGGAGACTTGAGATAAATTTGATACAAATCTTTGATGCCCTTCATAAACGAATTTCTGATGGAAAGCACCTGGAACCTCGGCAACAGATTTTACGAGAAGTCAATGGATCATATTTATTCAAAAGGATATGACAGTGCCATAGTTAACACTAACACTCATGCAGGGTGATGATGAGTTGATACTAGGCTTACAATTTTAAACATGTAAAACTTATGCAGGTATATACTTCCTAAAAAAATTTGAAAGTTGAATGGAAAAACAACAACAACCCAGTTGAATCCCACAAGAGTAGGGTCTGGGGAGGGTGTGTGTACGCAGACGTTACCCCTAATCGAAAGTAGAGAGGCTGTTTCCAAAGAGACCCCCGGCTAAGCGTCGAAAGTTGCATTGATTGACTAACTGCTACTTCATTGATTAAAGAAGCGCACACAGTTTAGAGATCTACTTTGCTTTATTTCATCACCCTAGAGCCAAAAAATAGTGAATTTTTTGTTCCATCGGAGATGATGGAAATGCTGAATGGAAAAATGTCATAAATTTGGAGAGAGCATCTACTCCATTTTATATTTCAGGATGCTCAGAACAGCTACACTATAAAAACAGTTAGGTGCCAAAAGTCGCTTGATCTGCTTATCAGCGAGAGAGAAGAATCGTGGAGTGCACATTACTCATACACCATGTCAGACTTAGGGTAGAGGTGTTAACCTTGATCTGTTTTAAGAGAAGTAATACTGAAGGCTCAATACCATGAACTAAAGTTTAAAAGTTGAGCACAGTGTATACAGTTAAGCCATCTTTAAAAATCAAGATATTCGATGACCATGATATTACAGATTCTAATTTCTCACCAGAACACATCCATAACATGTATGGTGATGTCATACCTGGGACATGTCTATCTGAGGAAGACCATCCAAAACTCCTTTTTCATTTAGTCCAGATTTGAAAATATAACCGACCATAGAAGATCGAAATTCTACTGCAGACTGCAATATGTGTTGGATGATATGACCTATTGGTTGGGTTTCTTCAGTTAAGAAACATCTGCAGCATACCTTGAAAGTCAATCAAATTCACATAATAATACATTCATATAAATTTAATTCTAAAAAGGGGTTGATAGAATTGAATGTTTCAGTTATAAAAGCTTTTAGTTGACAAAAATAACGGGTACAATCCAAGGTTGACGTATAACAAAAGAAACGCGAGTTTAGAATATAATCTAGCTATAACTGATCTCATCACTTTCTCTAGGCCAAGAAGCTCTTGCATTTCAGGTTTACTAACATCTCTATCTTTACTACAAGGACTTATCAATTGCCCTCATGTCATGTATTAATTGTTCATACATAACCTCACATTTCTCCTTGCAGCCTTCATTCTTTATAGAGTGGATGAAAATCAATGAAATGCACGCACAAGTAAGGTGAGCTTACATATGTTGTGAATCATGGAGATATGCCATGTGTACTAATTCAAAGTCCATCATATCTCTGACCTAAAAAAGACATAGGTAAGAACTTAATTAAGATGTCCCGATATTATACTTGTATCAATTTCATAAATAATCTAGCAGACATTGATTGATAGGTTCTAAAGATTTTGACAAAATATCTGAACTGCAACACTTAGAGATTTATATTATTAAACCAATTTTTTTATGTGCAGCACTAGTAGATTCAGATCATCGTAACCAAATGTATAAACTGCATAGACTTTGAAAACTACTGATAGAGCACCAGTTTAGGAAATATGGAGCCTGTTAATATTATTCATAAAGTCAATTGTTTTATTTATTTTATTAAGTATGTTCAGGTTGGTTAATTTCCTAAGTCATGTGTTAGTGGACCATAAATTTTAGGGGGAGATTGTTAGTGGGCCTGAAATCTAGAGAGTCATTGTTAGTAGCCTATAAATATTGACTCTTATCATATGTAAAAATATGATCTAAGAGATTAATAAAATTGGATTTTATCATTGGAGATTCTCCTTGGGCTTTGTTAGTTATATGAGTTCAAGATTTTTACTCATCTTCTGATAAAGATTTTCCTTTATCTTTTATGTAGTTAAATAATTTAATAAAGATTCTCCTTCTTTACCAGACCCGGGTTGTTGTATTCACCTTCTTTATTTCTTCCTGCCTATCTTGAGTTATATCAACTACACATGCATGATAGTTACAATTTGTTTTCGTTATTTTTGTGAACTATTACACCAAAAGAGCTTATATCACATTTCATAATATCATTGTTTTATCATCAATATAATAAAACCCTTCTATATTCACATGGTAATACAGCCAAATTTAAGAAAAATTTCTGGGAAAATTTCCTGCCTAGGGTGAACTTTGATTTTTCAGCATTTTCATGCCAAAATCTTTCATCACTCAGACCCTATTTGGTGAGCAATACAGTATTGAAAATTTGGAATGGAATGAGTTCTCAAATCTTGAAGGAATGAAGGCCTCGTTTGGAAACAACATTAGAGTTTAGCGTTAGCATTTTGAAAAGGCTATCTAACGGTACCCTTTAGCGTTAATGTTTTCAAAATTAATCTGTACAGTTAAAATTTTATCTAAAACGCTAACGCTAATTGAAAATGTTGTCCCCAAACAAAACCGAAATGAATTTCATAACCTGGAACAAAGTGTTTGGACAAAACTGAAATGGAATCAAGTTGTATTCCATGTTCTTTGGGGCGTTGCTAATTGTTATTGAGGGAATGGGCAAAATTCAGACACAGAACCGACAACCAGCGACCTGCCAAAACCAGTGTCAGCAGTAAGCAAAGAGCCAGTGTCCACGGGCAGAGGAGAGAGGGGGAGAGGAGAGTTCAATGAAGAGTGAAAAGGGAAAAAAGAAAACGAGAGGGAGAAACCACATACCTGACGGTGATGGAGAACAGAAAGAGGGAGATGCGGAGATGTTGGAAAGGGGAGAGGAAAAGTCATGAGAAAGAAAGGACTTAAGAGAAGTCGATCAATAACTTGTTCGGATTCCGTGTGATTTGATTCAGCTTAAGTGAGGGGATTTTCAAGACATCCATTTTTGGGGCGGTCACACACCAAATAATTAATAAAGGAACCAGATTTCATCGGAATGAGAACCCATGCTCACCAAACAGGGCCGCAAATCTTGGATTCATTTCATAAATCGGCTACCATCATCACCTCCCACTCAAAAACCAACTAAACAAAATCAAATACTACCATGTAACTTCTCCAGTTGTCCAGTAAACTATTGCAAATTGTCCACTCAAAACCTCTATAATGTCACTCCCCTACGGTCAATTTAAAAAAAAAAGATGGATCCGAACATTTGTGAATTTCAAGGCCGTGAAGAGTCTATTAAAGAAAATCTGGATGCCCTCTTAGTTAAAACATCTCTAGAAGAGCTAGTGAAGCATTGTGACCAACTAATCATGATACTTGTTACTAAATGCTGCTAGGCATGAATGCATGATCTATTCCATGTTCATGATCAAATCCGGTCAAGCTCAGTGAATCCAGCAGTTGAAACATTTACTCAACTTAACCGAGCCACATCATTACGCGAAATGACATTATTTGGACCCCTAAAGCAACCACAGCTTTTGCTCTGCTCTGAAAGTGGCACTCTCCTACGTGCTGGTCTTACAACTACCCAACTTCTCTATGTTCATTGTTGAATGTGACGCATCTGGCCTGAGGATTGGGTCGTTCTCCATGAAGAGGGTCACCCTATTGCATTCTTCAGCAAAAATTTTGTTACCCACCATCATTCGTTCCCTGTGTAGGAACGTGAATCAATTGGTTTGGAAGAGGCAGTTCAACGCTGCCACCACTATTTATCGGGAATGAAATTCTGGATTCGCACCAATCGCACCGACCACTACAATCTTGAATATCTTCACCAAGAGCGCTTGTCCACCTCAACTCAGCAACAGTGGACGACAAAGTATTTAGGCTACAACTTTCAGGTGGAATTTAAGCCCGGGAAAATGAATACAGAAGTCGACACCCTCTCCCGTCGTGAAGACGACGACGGCACCATCTGGTGATGTCATTTGCCCGCTCCTCTCTTCAAGACAGTATGTGTGCTACGCTGCGGGACATGACGAGGGGCGCCACTGGTGGATAAAGCAGACAGCTTCACTTCTGATCATTGTTTTATAGATCTTTTTATGTAGTTTTGAATTATGTAATTTGTACTTTTTATTTCTATACCAATTTGTAAACAAAATAATTTTAAAAGAGATGGGATTTGCATGCTCTTCGAAGTGAGATGATTCATGATTATTTTGGGACGAATGGAGTATAACATAAGTACCTTGTGCTTTAGGGAGTGCATGAACTTGCACCACGAAACATGTGATAATTGAGATTGTACATATTGCAGGACAGCGGATACAAAATGATTAAGCTTGTACCTGAAATTTATCCGTAAAAATAGATATAACTCAGAGTGAAAATAAGAATGTTTCATAAAAAACAACTCATTGCACACTATAATTCCAGGCTAGTAGACTATACGTCCTTTGTTCTTTGAAAATTGCAACTGTTTGAAATTTCCACCATTCAAATGTGCTACTTTGACAATATTCTTTCCAAAAAGAAAAAAACAGATCATACCAAGTAAAGTGTTGTCTAGTATATTTTTCAAGATATCATTTTTAAAAAAATTTTACTATTAGATTTAGATAGTTAAATATATTAACGATCAAAGTAGGTCCATTTGAAAACATGCAATTCAAACGGTTGAATTTTTAAAAAAATGAAGGATGTATATGATCATTTTTAGTTTTACGCTATGTTTGGTTCATGAAATTTGAAAGAAAAGAAAATAAAAATGAATTTGCTCCTTTTCCTCACCAAAATGGAAAGAAAAGTGTTTTCCTTCTTTTTAGTTCATTTTCTTCTCCTATTTTCTTTTCCTTCCACTTTTCTTTTCGTTTCCTCCCTAACCAAACAAGAAAAATTGTTATATCTATCAGTTTCTTTTCCTTTCCTTTTCAAATTCCTTGAACCAAACATAGTGTTACATTTATACAACCTCCATCCCAAAATAAACTTCATGGTTTAACTCCACGGTAGGGTTATTAATACCGTACCGGCCGCCATACCGGTTTTGAACTTGAATGGTACACATTGTCCCGATACTGTCTCGTACCGGGAATAGAAACAAGTATATTTTATAAATATTTATTGGGAATTTTATAAACAAATCTAATGTCATTGAAAATTTTACTGTAATTTACAACTATTTAACTATAGGTGTATACAACTCAAAGACACAAATGTCAATGCCATATTCGATTGAAATAAAAAATATTATCACTTATTACGGAGTATAATTTAAATAATAAAGTTTAGGTGTTCAATACAAGATGAACTAAAATATGGTTCAACATTAATGTTTTTCAAAACAAAAAATACTTAGACAAATTATAGCAAAATATATAATTTTTAAATTAAAATATAAATATCTAATATACTATAATCAATAAAATTGATGAACTGCTAAACTCCACCGTATTGAATGGGAGAGGAGTGAGTTTGAAACTTGTTAAAGATAGGTATTTGTCAGCCAAATTTGGCCGGTATGGGCCAGTACATGCTGAGTGCAAAACCAGACTTTTCACCATACCGGAAAGCGCTAGTCTGTATTTTTCAGCAGGTACAGTACGAGATTAATAACATTGCCTCACGGAGTTTAAGGGAAGTGTTGAGAAGTGAAAAGTATACGGTTATAATTTGTTTAGAAGAAAGAGAAATGAGCAAGCCACATGTTCCTTTCCTTAAAACGAAACAATGAAAGTGTTAAGTTTATTTTGAGATGGACGGAAAAGAAGTGTGCCTTTCGCGCAAGCACCATGATCAAGATCAAAGTGGTCCATTGGAGGACACTAGGACAGAGGCCAAAGGGCACCACAAAAAATCCTTTTAACTCCGTATGTCTCAAAATAGCCCAACCCTCAATATACACACATATATTGATACCTCAAGTCAGAATAGAATTATATACAACATCCCAATAAAATCTCATGCCCTATCTAGGGGTCAAGATGTATGTAGCCTTACCCCTGTAATATCAATATGTAATATGCATGCAGAGAGACTGTTGCCATTAGACTCTAATTGCATTGTTGCATTTACTACCCAAAACTTTGATAAAAAGCAAAGAGCAAAAGAAGTTTAATGTGCAATTTTGATTCAGTCCATTATTAATTCGAAACTAAAGCATTGTCATTTACGACTCTTTTAGCTCCATTGGCAATGGACATTCAGGAAAGAATTCCATGTCTAGAGTATATTATTGCCAAATTAGAACTTCCTAGAAAGAATAATTAAGGGTACGAGTCATCAAAGGGAACATAACAAAACTAGTAGAGCAATTATGAATACAGCTCTATGTATGAATTATATAGATTACACAAGCAATAATTGTTTCCAACATTCAATGGAAATGATTTCTGAAATACCTGGTTTTAGTTAAGATAGATATATGATCCAACTTCATATCTTGTGCCTCAAAATGACAATTCACTTTGCTCAACTGAGTATGATTCTAGCAACCCGAGAAAAAAAAAGACTTCACCAAAGATGTGCAAGAATAATAATTCCTTTAACCATAAGTCAGACAGAGCAAGCAAGGCTGGTAAAAAGATATGTCTTGCAAAAGATATTAAACTATGCAGGTGCCAATTCGTGCCATGTACTTGATAAGAAGTTTGCACAGTACCAAGCACAACAGATATGCCCACACTCATGCAACTCAGTAATTTGGTTGACCAAATCAAACTCCAAGAACCCCAAACTTAATTGAGATTATTTCTAGCATCAAATGCATAAGCACTATGCAGCTCAAACATCAACAGAGGGAAAAAAGTATTGTTGGTCCAAGTTATTTGAAAGTCTTTACCTTTAGTAGGCTCCATACATCACTTAGAGAGACAAGTGCAAGCTTTAATTGTACCAGAAAAGTGAAGATGTCTGAATATATTTTCAATGTGTCAGGGCTTAAAATGATACTGATTGGCCATTCTACTCGGTAACCCAAGCCAAGGAAGTCAAAGGAGTGGATCCCTGTCACATACGATACAGGTTACAAGAAGAGTGGACAGGGAACGAACCCAACATAAAGAAGACCATTGCAGACACTCTGAAAAGAGTTATTGGTCACGTGGAAAGAATTTGAAAATGCATTGTACCATGAAATGAGCCCGTAGCCAAATCTGGATTAGTTATAGCATCTTTCATATACACATATACTCGATCTCTATTCGGGTCTGCTTCACATGAAGATCTCTGAATTGACAACTCAAGAAGACCTTGAATTTCTAATGTTCTTTTTTCCGCCTCGAAGACATAACATTTCTGGTGTGAGAGAGACAACCAGAGAAAAATGCATTAGAAGAGATGCAATAAGGAAACAAGAAAGTAGAAGATATTGCAGAAATGAGATAGGATGAAATAACAACATACATGACGCAAAAGAGATGTTATGAACAAATCCACCCAGTCAGCTACTTCCATAAAATGGTACCTCTTTAGAGCCAACAAATGCTCTTGCAAATCAAATCCTTTCTCAAATAACTTTATGGTCAACTTGCTTAGATACTTATATCTACTGACATCAAGGAATCAAAACTTTAAGATTTATAACCAAACAAGCAGTAAAAGTGAAAGTTAAGATCACACAATGTTGATACGTTCTTTTCCCTAGAATGCTGATTCATTATTTACATTTCTGGTATGACTAAGCAAAGTAATCACACAATTGTACTCTAAATAATCCCAATATGGTAAAATAACAGAGCTCAAAATGGAAATCCAGTTTCAAATGTATATTATAGAGAGTAAAAGCCAACAGATAATCCACATATACGATAAAGGCCACTGCATACAAATATTGGCGTTAAGAGATAGACACACACAAATATAAACACCTATGACCTAATCAATATGATAAACTTTGTAAGTTGATGTTCTCCATCAAACTTGTCAGCAGCACAGTTTCTAGTTAAAACTGAGTTTCAGCACTTGCTGAATACATTTTAAAAACTCCAGATGAAGNAGATTAAAGATGGTAAGAGTTTTTAGAAATCTAGAAGCAGGAATTAATAATCCATAGTAAAATACAAAGAGAAAAGTGCTTAGTTGCTTCTGCAGCAGCGCAATAAGGTTCCACGAGTGGTGGTATCTTGGGAGGGTGGGTGCATGTCGACTTTACCCCTACCTATAGATGTAAAAAGGACGTTTTGTGAAGACTCTCTAGAAAACATAACAACATGTTAAAACAATTACTCCCTCCATCCCAAATAAATCTTTACAATTGGTCAGCTTAAAAATATTCTATACCTATTTTTCACGGGTCATTTCAAAAAATAATATAATCATGTCACCTCTTGTTTTATAGATCTTTTGATGTAGTTTTTAAATATATAAATTTTATTATTTTGTTCTACACTGATATTAAATGAATTGAACTATTAATAGTTTCAGTCAAGCATCATAATCCCAACTATCAAGACATTTTTGGGACAAAGGGAGTAGATATTAAACGATGATTACAGGTAAAAAAAACTACAAAATAAAGAGAGGATGGAAAAACAGCAACAAAAAAATAATACCAACCTGTTCACAGACAACCCACTACATCTAACTCTCCCATAAACCCCGAGGCCCAAGTCAAATTACCCTATAACTTTAATCTTCAACCTCCGACTGCCCTATCTAGAATCATGCTCTCGGTGAGCTGCAAAAACAACATATCATGTTGGGTCTCCCCCCCCCCCTTTCCCCCCCAAAAAAAAAACTCTTCTTTGGTCCATGCATACCTCTCCTCTAACTCCTCCCTGCTAACCTCACACCTCACAAGGGTACTGGTGTTCCTTTGCACGTACTCAAACAACCGTAAATGTTATTCATGCATCTAATCCTCCACGGAACTCCGAGCTTGTCTCGTATATCCTCATTAGTTATTTCTATTCTTATCCCTCATACTATGGCCGCACATCAAAGTGTTCTCATCTCTGCTACTCTCAATTTCAACATGTTTCATCAGTTAATGCAATATCGTCAGCAAATAGCATGCATTAAGATGAACAAAAAGGGACTAAGAGCATACCCCTAATGCAACCCCCATCTCAACCAAGACCTGTGTCTCCTCCCACCATCGTTACTCTAGTCTTGCCTCCATCATACATGTCTTTAACTGCTCTAGAATATGTTACAAGCACACCTACGTACTCTAAGCAGAACCATAAGACCTCATCAATCCCCAAAGACTTTGTTAAGTCTTCTCTATGTCGATAAACACCTTATTGAGATGAACTACTCAATGAATCTCCTCAGAAAGGAATAGTTTCTGTAGCATATCACTCCGACAAGAATCCAATTTGGTATGCAAAAGTAGTCACCCCTTCCTCATCTTTCTCTCAACTATTCCGTTCCCATTCATAGTATGGCTGGGTAAGTTGATGCATTTCGAATACTTCCCTTATTGTGCAATGAAATCATAGTCCACCTCCACTCCTATGACATCTTAGTTGTCTTAAAATGACCACAAACAACTCGTTTGTCCACACACCCTTCTCTACCACTATCCTTCAAAAAGGCTACTGGATCTCATCAGGCTAAGTTGCTCTCCTCCTCATCCAGCAAATAACCTCATCCACCTCTTCTACTTAAATTTACACCTATAATAGTAAAGACCTGGACGACTCTCGAAACACGCTAAATCACCCAACACAATACTCCTGTCCTCTTCTGGACTCGAGAGTCTAGATCATGTGCCTTCTAATCTTGCTTTGATAGCCAAAATAGACTCTTCTATTCTCCTTTCTCCTAGAAATCCTTAAATAGTTTCTTCAACTCTCCAAGGCAGCAATCTTTGACACCGTAAATGCTAACTTAGCTTCCTTCTTAGTAGTCTTAAAACTAACTTAGGCATTAAAATATATAGTTGGAGAAATGTGAAGAAACAAGTAGCACTAAGATAAATTAACATCATTTAATAGGAAAAAAAAGTGAACTATCAAATAAAATGAAGGCATAATTACACTAAAAACATTGCTGATATGAAACTGTGAGCATAAAATAAACAAGGATACTGAAGCAGGATCTCTTCCAATAAGCACTTCTTGATAATATAATCTAATGGTATCTCATTAACTGTCACCAGACTAGGCCCATTATAACTGGCAGCTGTATCCATTGTTTTATCACAGCCACGAAGGAGACTGGCCCAGCCACTCCCGCCATTAGTATATGAAAGTGATGAGAGTTGTGGAGAACAAGTTTCTGAACATACAGACGAAGCATAAGAAAGCTTCCCCTTTTTCTCTGAGTTTTCAAGATCCTGGCTTTCTTGATCATGCACATCGCTTGAAGAAATGGCAGTAGCACCAGTATTATTCTTCAAAACAGACCTTTCAGCTCCAAACTGCTTTGTTGTTCTATAGTCCAACATTTCCATGTATAACTTGCAAGGATCTCTTACATGTGTAAAGTCAAAACATGATGAAGGTTTTCTTTGGTGCCATTTTTCTCCATGCTTTACAAGAGAGCTTTTGGTCAAAGTTGGTTTCAAATTGAAAAAATTAGGAGTGTATTTAAGTTTCCATGATGAAAAACTACTTGAAATTCTAAAGGAACAACTATGGTACTGGTGCTTGCTATCAGCCTTCTGTACTGAAGTATTTGTGAGCAAAAAGGGCTCCCCATAATCCAGCATTTCTGTTAACTGACTATCATCAAATACCTTCATTTTTTGATCCATTGAAAGCAATGAAAAATTTTCGTTGTTCCTTCTATCAGCATTAGAAGGATTTTCAAGAATGTGATCAGACAGTGGACATCCCATTTCTGTACCTTGTGTATCACAAGCAAGTAACAAACTTTGTTCTCCAATGTAAGGGGCCAAAGCATGCTCTCTCGCGACCTTTCCATCGTAACAAATGCCAGCAGCGTGCTCAGAGTTATCATTTCTGACACACTTTTCACCCAGAACAGATTTTGGATTGCATGAAATTTCATCTTGGGGCAGCTTTTGCAAGGAATGGTTTGTAATGAAAGTCAAAGCAGAAAAATAAGTAGACTCCAGTTGCTTATCAGTAAAAGGTATACAAGTCAAATCCTCGTTCTCGGATTGCTCTTCAGAATCTTCAGAAGATGAAGCTGCAAGTGCATCGATGACATCTTGAGCATAGGAAAGCTCATCCTCTGCACTAGAAGCTTCGGAAACCCCATCAGGCCTAAGAAGCACATATGCAAATGAGTTGATAGTAGTGAAATAATTCAAAATACAAAAGAGACTTAAGAGTGACTCAAGATTGTGACAAGCCAAGCTACCATGCATAAATGTCAAGACCTAAAAGGCCACAACCTCAACTGAAAATGAGCCTAATGTCACATCCCAAATGGGGATTAGAACATTCATAAACCATAGAATCCTTTATCTGCATTAATTCTCATAGCCTTGTCCTACACCAATGGGACGGACATATAGGTAATAGCCTAATAGGGTATAGCAGAGTGACAAGTATTCAGGCACGCAAAGTCCAAAATGTTCATTCAGTGGTCACCTTTTGAAAGCTCATTAGAGACATTGATTGAATGTCAAATGAATATAAATGCATGCATAAAATATGCAGAGACAAACCGCTAGATAAAAACATGACAACTGTACAGGGAGGATACAACAGATCCTCATGGTCCAGAAGTGAGAAGGAGGTGCATCCTAAAGTAAAAAGTAAAAATACTCACAAAGTAGCAACTCACAGTTCCTGATTTTGTTTTTCAGTTGGAGATATAATCAAGTTATCATCTGGTGAAAATAGGTCAGAACACTTAATCCTCCATCCACAGTCTGCGTGTATAGCTTGAACTCCACAAGGCAAAACCTGAGGTGACTACATTAATCCTCAATGGCTCAATTTCAAGGTTTTTTTGTAATAGTGGTGGACTGGGAGGACATATAAAGAATATAGTCAAAGGCGGTATTCAGTACCAACAATCTAATTCTACAAACATACAGGCATCCAGAAATAGAAATACAGATTGCAGTCAATATACATTTGTATATTGTTGGCATCCTCAAAACAACTGCTAATTTTTAACTTGTTGAGGAACAGACAATTTACCCTATCAATACAAGTAGCACAGAATGTTATTCAGATTACCAACAAAGTAATTCAACAAATTGTCTCTCTATTAAACAAAGAAAAGATAAAGTGTACTACTAGGAAGATAAGAAGTATGTAAACAGAACTGTAAAACACAATACTCAAGGGTGGAAGGATACAACAACAACCCAATAAAGTCCCACAAAGTGAGGTCTGGGGAGGGTGAGCATACACAGACCTTACCCTTACCTAGTGGGTAGAAAGGGTGTTTCCAAGAGAATTCCGGCTCAATACATAAAAGAACACAGGAAGAAGAAATAAAAACAAGTAAAGGAAAATAGAACAAGAAAAAGAAAGAGAAGAACACGAAGAAGTAAGAAGACACCTAGATACAACAAACAAAAGCAGCAAGTCCCACACAAGGCTAGACCACTCCTAAAGGCTACCCTACCATCCAAATCTTCAACCTACAGGCTATCTAAAGAAAGAGTGAAAAGATAACTGATTTTTAGTTTAGTGCATGCAAGATGTGAATACTTGTAGACTTATTCTTTCTGGGTGCTTTAAGTTGGGGGCATCTTGGAAACAACATTTCTACTTTCTGGGTAGGGATAAGGTCTACGTACACCCAATCTCCCGAGTTCCCACTTGGTGAGAGTTTCCTATATTTGTTGTTGTTGTGCGCAATATGTGAATATGGAAAAGGGGAGCAAATCTGAAAATGTCAATGGATTAAGTGTCCTTTTCTCTAATAAGTAGTCAATGGAATTGCAATACATTAAGATGTACTACGTAATATTCTATCATAATTTTCACATTATGGTTTTGTCTCTCTCAGTATACCCTAGAACATAAAACAGTAAAAGGTTAGAGATATAGATTCATTTAGATAAATTGCACCGATGTTATTGAGCGTGCAATCATTGTGTGTCAGCACATCTTAATAATTTATGCATAAAAGCTGAAAAAACGTCATGCTTCTCAGTGATAGACTGATAGATAGCAATTACCCCTTGATGCCTAAATTCAAACTTGGAAAATATATTATCAATTTCTTCAAGTTTCTGAAGGTAAAAAGTGCTTCTAGCCAGCGTGATTGCTTCTATTGTTCCTTTGTCAAATGTCAGTGACGAAGAAAGTCTATGATATTCAATGCAAATCCCATTACAACCAGGGAGAAACTCTTTGTAAGAAGAATTCATTGCACCAATATTATTAGACAACTCAAGCAACTTCACGATCACTTGAAGTTGTTGGCCTGCTCTGAAGAGTGGAATCAGGAAATCCTCTAAGAAGAAAGGAACAACAGCTCCATCTCGTACCTAAGATATTACATTAATGATCAAAGGACTGGTTCTCAAGGAAGAAAAAATATGGTAACAGTGAAAAGCGCAAAGCACCCTATGAATCTTCTATAAAACATGTGATAGTGTTACCTTGACTCTAGCTAATGAGAAGCCATTAGATGTTCCAAGAGCAGGATCAGGTACATCATCAAAAAGTTCCACTACAAACTCTTCAAAAGGATCATTGATCTTGCCTTCATAAATCCATGATCTAATGAATCCACAATATGGTTCCCAAGACCGGATAAAAAGGAACTTGAGGAGAGCACAATGAACAGGATCTGTGGCCTAAATACAGTTTACATTAGTAGAATATCAAGTGCCAGGCCCAAATAATGAAACAATAACAGAAAGAATCTTGGGTATCATTAAACCCCCCTGCCCGTCCCCTACATTCCCGCCACACAAAATAAATAGTTTGTCTGGTTGCATCTAGGAGAGGTATAGCATCAACTTGTCAATTTTAGTTATTGCGATAACAAAAACTAGCATTTATACCCTATGATGTATGAGATTTATTTTTTCCATCATCTCCGATGGAGCCAAAATTTCACCATTTTTTGGCTTTGGGGTGTGATGGAATAAAACAAAATAGATCTCTAAACTATCTGTGCTTCTTTAATTAATGAAGTAGCAGTTAGTCAAGCAATGCAACTTCCTTTCGACGTTGAGCCGGGGGTCTCTTTGGAAACAGCCTCTCTACTTTCGAGTAGGGGTAAGGTCTGCGTACACACACCCTCCCCAGACCCTACTCTTGTGAGATTTAACTGGGTTGTTGTTGTTGATGTATGAGATTTATTGTTTATTCTGTTTTTTCAAAAATCATATGATGCACGGTTCAAAACCAGTAAATTATCTCTGAATAAAACATAGTATAAATTTGAAATTTTGGTCAAAGTAGCAATAAATTTACTTTTTGGTCAACCCTTAACCCTCACTTTGCTAAGTGTTAGCTACAGCCAGGTCGTTTTGATAATGGGTCATGTACACAATCTATCCCCGCATATGTAAAAAAATCCAGTGGGACAAATGTGATGTGTCATGTGTGCTTGATTATACCAATTGTAGAGTTATTTCATTAGATAAAATTTTCTTACTATCTATCATGTGTGTTCGTACGCATAGTAGAAGAAACTATTATAAAAAGCTATAAAGTTTTTAGACCCTTAGTTATAAAAGACTTGGAGAAGGCACACACCTGGCGCTCCTGCAAGGAATTCATAACTCAGACCTTGTTGGGGCGGTGTACGAGGGTTATTGGGGTTTAGACTGGTCTAACCATTTGCTTTTCGGTCTTGCTAGGTTGTTCTTTTACTTCACATCTCACACTACGTGTCATTGTTGGGGATTCTGTCAAAAACATCCCCCCCCCCCCAAAGATCCTAATCTCAAGTGGGATATATTGAGTATGTTTTGTTTTATATAGAATGATAACCATTAAAGTAGGTCATAGACACTATTCCATTTTGAACACAAAGGTTACAAAGTACTCCCTCCGTCCCAAAAATAAAGTAATGTAGTTGACCTAGTTGTGTACCAAAAAAGTGTCTAATTTGAACGAAAAACTATTTTAATTATATCCAATGTGTGTTACTAAAACAAGCATGTCAAACAAGTTAAATACGTGTAATTTACTTAAACCAACATCTACACTTTAAAAAATAGCTATGATTGATAATTTTTAGTAGTTGTACTTTACTAGAAAAATTGTACCTTAGTGAATAAGAACTCTTTTCATGGGACAGAGTAATGAAAAGTGGTTTCTCATTTATTCTGTAAACACACTTGTTCATACTATGACAGATAAATTGAACTTCTGCACAATGCTAACCTTAAGCTGTGAATATAATAATGTTATCAGTGCTCCACTTCTTGGAAAATTATGAAATTCTTGGTCAGCTTTAGCAATTAAGTCTTTCAAGGGCGATTCTGGAAAACAAAGGGCTAGGTCACCCAGGTGGCAGATATTTCCAAGTGCTTCCACTTGCACTCTTAAGCCTGTGGTGTGCAGATAAACCTCCAAAATCGTGATCTCAGAATGACCAACATTTGTAAGGCAGCCTCCATCAGCAGCAGTAGAGCTGCGTCTTAAGTTCACAGATGAAAGCAAAGTATTGAGTGCAGAGCTATAACCGTCTAAGATCCTTCCCACAGAAACAGCAAAAGCCTGGTTAACAAGTGTATGGTTGTTCAGATGGCAGCTGGAATTGTTGCCATGAATTTCATCAATTCCTGAGTTACAATCTGCTCTCGAATTCGTAAAATAACAAACAAATTTGCGGAGGAGAAAAATAATACAGCCAAATTGCCCTATTGACTTGAGTAAATTTCCTAATGCCAGAGTGCTGGATGTCCTGCTCCACAAACTTGGAATGCGGTGAAATGATCTATCAGCTGAGTCGCAGCAAAACAAGTCTGAGAATTTCTCAATTGATATTAAAGCTGATTCAACACCTTGCAATGCGTTCAATGCAAGCCTTACCAAACTCGACTCCTGTAACATGTTGAAAAAAAATGTTTTTGAAAAAAGCAAGATATTGATTCAACAAAACTACGCGATGACACCAGGAATGACTATTATGAGGATTGGGAAATGGAAATGAGAAGTTCAAATTTAAATTGTTGTTATTCTAGGCATGTAGTTTATTATATGTAGATTTTAGACAATTTTCAACCCTTTGTGCATTCAGTTTGATAGATAATCAACAATGTTTAGCAATTGTTTCCTAACAGTTCAAAATGCTGTGATGGACAGCAAGCAAGGGCTTTTAAACTGTGATTTCCCTATGTATGGACATATAATCACAGACATCTGTTGGTTTCAGGCTAAAGCATTGAAACATTTTCTTAGATTATACTTCATATGGTAATGTTTAGTGTTTTTAAAATTTTTATCCCAGATGATATTTTTTACTTCAAGCTCAAGGAAGTTCAAGATTTGTTTTGAGGGGATATAATGCATCCAGATTAACTGTGAGTAAAGCTGATCCTTTTGGTTTCTCTTTGGGGTTATACAACTCTTCTTTATACACACTCTGGATTAAAGATTGCTCTTCACTGAGAATTGATGTTTCCACATTCAGTAACCTAAAGTGTATTCAACTCCACAATTGCCCGACAAGAAATACCCTGAGCATTTTTACTATTTCACCACCTCCGGCTTTTTTTCAAGGTTAGAAAACACCATTTCAGTCTCGCATTGTATCAATTTGACAGCTAGATGGAATGAAATCTCTATAAAAAGATACACGCTCCGTCGTAAACTTCATATCTATCGAATTAGAATTTAAACAATTTCAAAGTAAAATGAAAATTCCAAAAAGGAAAAAGCACTACTGCTTACAGAGACTCCAGAGGTAAATAGGCCATTAGATGATTGTTCACAGTGAAGCGACGACAGAGAAGGAAGGCCGCTTTCAGATGGAATGTACTCCCATGGTCTCGGCGGAAAGTAGGGGTCTTCAACCTTCAGCTTCTCAAACAGCGACGCCATGCTCGGCTCCAACACCATTCTTTTCAGCCGTAGTTTCAGACCCTGTCTCTCCCACCAGATTTAGGAGTTTTGTTTCAGCCTCTTAATGGTTCAGATGTCTGAATAATTCAGCACTGGTTCAGACTGTTTGTTTCAGCCTCTTAATGGTTCAGATGTCTGAATGGTTAAGAAATTTCGGAGACTTACCAATTCATAATATGTCTCAGACTTACCAATTCTCGACAATAGACTTAACTAGTCTGTAAACGGAGACTTATCAATTCGTTATATGATCGAGAATTACCAAGTCTGGAGAATGACCAAGTCGTGAATTACTAAGTCTGGAGAATGACCAAGTCGTGAATGGGTAAGTCTTCAACGGTTTGTCGGGCTTATGGGATATAGGAATTTGAACTCGGTATATTTTTAAGAGGGACTTACACCAATAAATATACCCCATTTGTACACCACATGTTTGCACAAACATTTCGATGGTTTACACCGAAACAAGTGTTGGTGCGTTAATAAAAATTCACACGGACACAAATGTTGGTGCGTTTAACAAAAATTAGTTTTACACCAACACAAAATGTTGGTGCAAAACTGCGGGGTACAAATCTTGGAGTACACATAGCATAATCCTTTTAAGAGCACCGGTAATGGTGTTGAAGTCGCTTCAAACCTTTTCTGTCTCAAACATCAGCTTTAACTTATCCTAAAATTTCACTGGAAATGGGTTTGAAGCTCCGAGGTTTCAAACTGTGGCTTCAAATCTCTATTTTTTATATTTTTAAATATACATCTTCTAAAATTAAATTAATAACATTTTATCAATTAATTGAATTTAAATGAAAATAAATTATTAAATAAAAAAATCAATAAAAGGTAAATTAACCAAATAAGATTTGAGTAATGAAAACAAAAATATAAAAAATTATATTACTTTATGAAGAAATTACTGATTATTCGAGCGACTAAAAATATCTTCATTCAAATCGGGGTTGTAGTAACATATTGCAAACTGAAATAATACATTAATTAAAAAATACAGTCAATAAAAAAGTATGTTAAATTTAAAAAAAAAAAAAAATTACATTACGAAAGAAAATTTAAACAAAAAAATATTACATTAAACAATAAAATATAGAGTAAAAAAATTATGTTTGTGTTTGTTCTATTTTTTTAAAGAGAAAGAATATAAAGAGTAAAAAAAATATTTAGTCTTATGGAATTTATGTAATTTTTTGTTGTTTTTTTAATGAATGAAGCCCGTGAAACGTTTGAAGCATGAAGGATGAAGCCCCTTTGAAGCCCCAGGGGGCGGTGTTTGCTGCCCCTTTGGCGTTAAAAGGGGCAATAACGCCCCGGGCGTTATGCCCATTACCAGTGCTCTAAGGGTCATGGAAAGCTACCCCAAATCCAAAAGGGTTGTTATTAGAGCATAACCAAGGTGTAGTGTAAAAATTGGTAGTGTAAGACTCTGATTCGTTCAACTTATTTTTTCTGATCTGATCTAATTTTTTATAGTTTTGATCTGATCTGATTTGATCTGGTTTGATATGATCTGATTGGATCTGATCTGATCTGATTAGATCTGATCTAATCTGATCTGATTTGATTGGATCTGATCTGATCCGTTCTAATCTGATCTGATCCGATCTGATTAATTAGGATTTGATTTAAAATTCAAATCAATAATTTGATTTCACTTTATAATAATGTTTGAAAATTGTAATGATAATTCATATTATAATATAATCAATATTTTTTATTTTTTGATTATTTTTTATTGAAATAAAATTAGTTAATTCATATATTAGAATAATCATTCATATTATAAGGCAATAATATTTTTATTTTATGATTATTTTTTTATGAAATAAGAATATTGATTTAATATTTTAATAAATAGTTGATATATACATTAGAATAAATATTTAATTTATATATACATTAAAAAGTAATTAAATCTAGATAATCAATATAGAGGAAAGATAATATTTTTATTAAAATATCAACGTGTGCTTTGTACTACGAAACTTTTTTTATGATTAATATAACACCATAGATATAATAGTTATTTCAGTTGTACTAAGATATACTCCGTATATGAATATCAAATGTTAATTTTATTTAAGTAATGATTAAAGTTGATCAACTCGATGTAGTAAAAAAAGATCAAAACTTTAGAAACTCAAATTACATGTAGCAATAAAAATGTATTTTAAAAGTAAAATTAGATTAACATTGTCAATGTATTTTAAAAATAATTTTCCGACGTCTAATAATTAAGAATTACTTTCTTAGTTTTCTATTTAACTTTTTTCTAAAGTTTATTCTTTTTTCATTTTTAAAAAGAAGAAGAAGAAGAAGAAGAAGAAGAAGAAGAATAATAATAATAATAATAATAATAATAATAATTCTTGATGGGATCTAGTCTAGTCCGGTCTGATCTGATTGGATCTGATCTGATCTGATCTGATTTGATTCGATCTGATCTGATTTTAATAATAAGAAGAAAAAATAAGTTGAACGGAACGGGGCCTAAGTTTCATTTTACCACCACGGTTCCCATGACATTCCCCGGCAATGTCATGGGATGATCCGGGGGCGCTCCGGTGCCCCATTCATAAAATTGACAGTTTCTATCTCCTCTAACCCCCAGATCACTCTCGTTTTCTAAAAGACCAGTGTCATCGAAACCAACTCGTTGTATTAGAGATGTCATGTTAGATCATCAACATATGTTGCAAGAAGTAAGTTTCATACACGTGTGAACATAGAGAGGAAACTTTTTTTACTACTCCAATTAGGGGTGAGCATGATACGGTATTAGCTCGTATTGATACCATATCAAATACTTTGGTTCGGTATTGAATTTTATGTCGTACTGATCTCAGTATTGAAATATGAGTTCATGATGGTTCGACAATAGTTTCGGTACAAATCGGGATGAATACATATGTTCCTAGTTTACACTTTAAAATGTAACAAAACCCTTTTAGTTTTGTAAAAATCAAAAGTATTAGAAAAAAGTTTTTGGGTACGAAACATGTGAAAACTATAATAAGCATCACATTATTTTTGTGGCGCATTGTTAAAAACAAGATTCAAACAAGACAACAAATTATAAATTATGTGATAGAGAGAAAGGTGATATAAACAATCTATTTAAAGAAGTGCACTAATGCTCAAGTAGATTTATGTTTATTTTGGGTCGTTCTACTCAAGCTTGTAACATTGATGACTTTTGCACCAAAAATTTGAAAAAAAGAGAAAATTACACAAAAAGGAGTAGAACATAAGAGTCTTCCATATAAAGAACGAGTCCCATGTGCTTTTATGTTTTGATAGGGGAAAGGTTAAAATTAGCCTCTTGCTCCAATAAATATCAATCTTATTCCACGCTCTACGATGACCAAGAATTGCAACAATAAAGGAAGGAGTCCGAGAAGACATTCCTCAATGCTTTTGTTACCATTTCTAGGAGAGTTCTTCCACTGGTTGAGAGTGAAGTCAATACAATTCCATTTTTTGCCTAAAAAATCAAATTAGGGTTAAAAGATGTGACATTTACTTCTCTCTAAAGCTCTATCGCAGCTATGGATAAAAGATCTTTACTCACATAACGGACGTACATGTCGTTCAAGTTCGAGATAAACGATGACAAAGATTTTGTTGAAGAGCACTGTCCATAAAAATATGCTAGAGAAGCTTAAATTTTGGTGTAATTACATGGTTTTATTTTAATTTGTATTTTCAATTGCTAAATTAGACTACAGAAAAACTATATGTAAATTGTTACGGCATATTGAAGCATGTATGACATGTCTATGTGAAAATGTTTAACATTTTATTATTTATTTTGTACTGTATAAATTTTGTTAATGAAAGTCATTTGAGGGCTTAAAGACATTGTAGGAAAAACAGGTGGATAAGTTAGGTATAGAATGACCTAAAATAAGTCATAGACATTAAATTAAAACTCTATGTGACCTAGGATAGTGCTTGAGGAAAGATATTAGAGTAGAAGGACATTACATTTAAAAAGATAGTACAGAGTGTGGAGCTTTAGGAGATTTCCTTCATGGTCCCAAAATGAAGTTGTTAAGACACCATTAAGGGAATTATGAGTAGGATTTATAATGTGAGAAAGGTTGCTACCCAAATAGTAAGACGTGAATTACAACAATAGCCATTGAGCCTGTTATCAAAGCAAACAAAATTGATATTGGAATAGGGTGAAACACAATGCAAGTTAGGATAATTCTTCAAAAGGATATTATTCCAACAGAATAATGCATTTAAAAAGACTTTGGTGCGGAGTGAGGCATAGGTGATGTGTCATTATTATAAAAATTGATAATATTTAAATTTTTTTGTTAATATTTACCATCAATTGCTAATCAGAAAAGTACAAAAGCAAGATGTGAAATATTGAAGTATAGATCATGCATGCCATGTGTTTAATAAAAAAATTTTGAATTTAGTATTTAATTCCATTTATACGAGCAATGACAATTTAAAATCCAGAATTGTATAGAGTTCATTGTTGAAACTTAATGCAGGACATGAAGATGTTTTTTGTTGGATATGAGGAGGAAATTACCTATAACGACACTAGGGGTGGGATAAAGTAATATGCAAATTGTTAGTCAAATATGAAGGAATTATACAATGTAGGAAATTGTGTATGTTTTTTGACAAAATCATGTGAATAATGACCATCGTGAAGGTTCATTTAGTCTTAGTTACGTAATGTCAGCATTAAAATTGTGTGATAGGACATTATGTTAATAAGGACTTAGGGACTGTTTGTTTCAGCCTTTTAATTGTTCAGATGTCTGAATGATTCAGCACTTAATGGTTCAGACTGTTTGTTTCAGCCTCTTAATGGTTCAGATGTCTGAATGGTTAAGAGATTTGCCTCTGAATGGTTAAGTATTATACAGAGTCTGAATGGTTAAGAGCTGTTATCTGAATTGATCAGACATTTGCCTCTGAATAGTTAAGCAATATACTAGCTCTTAATGGTTCAGACCTCTTACTGGTTCAACACTTAATNCTTTTAATTGTTCAGATGTCTGAATGATTCAGCACTTAATGGTTCAGACTGTTTGTTTCAGCCTCTTAATGGTTCAGATGTCTGAATGGTTAAGAGATTTGCCTCTGAATGGTTAAGTATTATACAGAGTCTGAATGGTTAAGAGCTGTTATCTGAATTGATCAGACATTTGCCTCTGAATAGTTAAGCAATATACTAGCTCTTAATGGTTCAGACCTCTTACTGGTTCAACACTTAATGGTTCAGACCTCTTACTGGTTCAGCACTTAATGATTCAGACCTCTTACTGGTTCAGCACTTACCCATTCAGAAGTTGCCAAACAGCCCCTTAGCGTTGTAAGACAAAAATATTGATTTCAATGCACCAAGTAGAATACACAATTATTTGATGAGAACCCACTTTTATTATATCACGAAAATATTGCTCCAAACTTAATACAATAACTCTAATATAATCTCATATAACTCTCCTATCAAAGCCCAAAGCTTGGCTATGATATTGTTAACCCAACTTGGTCAACAAATAAGCTAATTATTCCTAGGATTCATAATTATATTCCTACTCGAACTGGAATATCTCAGGTATTTCTAGTCCTACTTGGAAATTAGCCAACATTTCACCCCCTAATTTCTGAGTAGGATTTTGGTTGGCCGTCAACTCCAAGCATATCTTCTTCACCTTGATTCTCCCGAGGCTCTTCATGATCCACTGTAGTGTTCTTTGGGCTCCACTTAGCTTGAATAAACACTTGATTCTCACGAACATTACATGTCCTTCCTTAGGCTAGAATCTCTTTCTTGACATTTCCTTTAAACTCTTGAACATTCTTCTTTGGACTTTGAATTTTGAGTTTCTCCATTAAACTTGAATCTTTGAGAAGATTCTGACTCGTACTTCACGTACTTTCTTTCAATTTATCAACTCTCTGTAGATCCCGACCCACAAAATTCTTCATTTCAATACTGCTAACTTGTGGAGTTTCTATCTTGAGTAATTTTGAAGTAATTTGACTAACCCTTTTTGTTTAATCAAAACACAATCTACACAACGGTGGTCTCTCGATTTATATAACCAGACTTGGTTAAATAAGATCATCGACAACTAGCTATTGATCTGCTTGGTGCACTCACCCTGTGTTGCACATGATCGTCTTACTCCTGCCGTGCTCTCGTGTCAGCGAGGACGGCATGATTCAAATATGTGGCAGTGCGCAACTGGCTACTTGCATATGATAGCGGCTGGCCGGCCTAAAAGATAGCAGTGTCGATCAAAGTTGCAGTGGCGTTCTTCTATCCAACAGCAACGATCTTCTATCCAACAGTGACCACTTTTGTGCATCAACAAAAGATCTGAATCGACTTAGGACGGCTCTTAGTTGACTTCGTTTCAACAGAACCCTCGGGCTTTTCATGACAATTTTTTAAATTTGCGTGCGTACCTAACTGATGCTCTGATACCAATTATTGATTTCAACGCACCAAGTGGAACACAATTTTTTGATGATAACACACTTTTATTATATTAAGAAAATATTGCTCAAACCTAATACAATAACTCTTGTATAATCTCATATTACTCTCATATCAAAACCCAAAGTTTAGCTATGATATATATAGTGTTAACCCAACTTGGTCAACATGTAAGCTAATTAATCTTAGGATCCATAATTCTATTCCTACTTGAACTTAAATATCTCGAGTATTCCAAACCCTACTTGGTAATTAGCCAACAAATATAATGTCTTTGAGGCAGAAATGAGCAATGTGGTTTTGGGAATACCCTTTACATGATGTAATGATTTTTCCATGTATCAACCAGGTCAAATTTTGGAATGTTTGAGATAAAAATGGCCAAATTTTTTGTGATGGAGTGCAATAGATCAGATATATTGAAGAAAATAAAATGGATTCATATCAAAAGAAGATCATGTTGGAGTTATTCTTATATGCTGCAATGGGTAACTTTTAATGAATAGATGATGCAAGAAACAATTGAGATTTCTAATTTATCAAAATGGAGTTTGATGTTTTTTCAGCCTAATGCTAATGAAAGTGATTATGGGACAATAATGTTGTATGAATTTAATGTTTTTAGAACTTACTATTTATGTACATAATGTCAATTTATTTCTTTGGCGTAATGACTAGATGCATGAATTTGTTACTTGATTGTGTGATTTTCCTATGTTATGTGCACATAGTCAATATTTTTGGGTTAAAAATATTTTAAATGGTAATAAATATTATTGATGCTTTTGCACATTAATTGACATTAACTTTTATGTTTTATTATGTATAGAAACAAAAAATAATTATATATTGACACCTAAAAAAACATATTACACGTTTTATAGGTTTTATATCATTTATTATTTAAAAATAAAGTAATTTCCTTATACACGGTTTTGGTAAGAAAGAATCTTAAATACATGTTAGTAATTTAAAATTTAAGTTAAAACACGGATGTTGAAATGTTAAGTAACTCCAAAAATTGATAAAAAAAATAATTTGTGTTTCCTTTATTTTTTACTTTATACGTATTTTAAATAATGTAATTTCATTATAAGCAACGTAATAATAATAAACTAAAAGGGTATGTTTCTTTTACGCGATTATTGTGTATAAAAAATACTGTCTTTAAAAAAATTAAAGTGTTGCCTTGAACAAAAAAATATTCTCATACTTTAAATATTGAAATTAAAATCACAGTTATGTTTCCATTTATACTTTATAGGTATGTAAAATAAAGTGATTTCCTTATACATAGTTTTTGTAAGAATTTTTCATAAATACACTTTGTTAGGTGGACAATTTTAAGTTAAAAGAGGAATGTTGAAATGGTAAGTGACACCAGAAATCAATCAAAAAATAATTGTGTTTTCATTTTTACTTTATAGGTATTTTAAATATGTATTTTAAATAAGCTAATTCCATTATAAGTAATGTAATAATAATAATATTAAAAAGGAAATCTCTAATTTGGGATTACCGTGTATAAAAAAAATTCCGTCTTTAAAAAAATTGAAAGCATTGCCTTGAATCAAAAAAATTCTCATACCTTAAAGTATCGAAATTAACTTTATAGTTGTGTTTCTATGTATACTTTATAGGTATTTTAAATAAAGTATTTTCCTTTTACACAATTTTGGTAAGAAAGAATAATAAACTTACGTTACTAATTAAAAGTTTAAGTTGAAACACAAATGTTGAAATGGTAAGTAACATCAACCATATGATTTGACCGAAAATTTACATTGTAATTTTACAAATAAAATTCTGTAAAAGGAAAATAGAATAAGCAAAAAAACTTTTCATAGTATAAATACGATTATTGGCAAACACTTTCGTAATTAGTTTCTTTCGAGTGCGTTTTCAAATTCGCACATTTTCAAGTCCTATATTCGAACAAAATATGGGTATCTTAACCGTTGTAAGAAATATTATTGCTGAGAGGTCATCACTTGTGATGTTAAAACTAAGAGCGATCAGAGCTTATCATGTTTCCGTCCATTCTCTAGGACCCGAATCATTGGATTTTATTTTTCACGACTCAGAGATTAGTTCTTTCATTAATAATAAACTTAAATACGAATACATTACGAACGTTGTAATGATTGTTTAATATACTTTTTTCCTTTTTCATTGTTAGGGAGATCGAATACATTCATAAAACAGAGATTCGAAAATACGCACTTTCAAAGAATATTTGAAAGAAAATAACGTTCATTTCCTCATGAGAGTCAAAGTATATTTCACAATTTTCAAACAACGAAAACTACCAATCACCCTTTCATGCTACAATTCTTTAGCAAGACGAATCTTCAAAAGATCTCAGAAAATACATTTCCCAATTTTCAGTACAACTTTATGGGATTTGAAGAATTCAGAAAATGAGTTTTGGTGACAGTGTCCTTTTAGTTGGTAAAGTTTCATAAATAAATTACTTACATATATTTATATTACATTTAATTAATTCCTATGTCTTATATTTTGGTACTTTCAGATGTAATTGGGAAATTGTTAGTCGAAGCCCATCCAAAAACCGCATTGTAAAACAGGCTCCAGAGCAAATGATGGATGTTAACACTCGAGGACTACAAATATGTGAGAAATTATATTCTATATTCATGTCTTTTTTTGCTAAGAAACAATTTTATAAAAAAATTATATTACTTAACTCCGATGCGTATTATTTTTGTGTATTAATAATCTTAATTCATGAAAGATTTTTCTTTTAATTTTAATTTTTTAACTTTGAAGTTTTTTGGGTGACATAAACTCTCCAGAATTCTTAAATAAGATTTGTGCTTCTAGTGTAGCGAATCATGAGTTAACTTTGAAGGCAGACACACCTATTATGTTTTTAAGAAATATTGATCATTCGATGAATTTATTTAATGGTAGACAGTTGATAGTAACCCGGTTGGCTAATCACTCAATACAAGAAAAGATATTATCTGAAAGCCACATGAGTGAAGAAGTCGTTATTCCAAGACTATCATTGACATTATCAGATACAAGAATTTCATTCAATTTTCAAAGAAGACAATTCTCCATAGTTACTTCATGTGCAATGAAGATTAACAAGAGTCATGGGGAATCACTAAAACATGTCGGATTATCGTTACAGAAACCGATATTTAGTCATGGACAACTGTATGTTGCAGTATCAAGAGTAACAAATTGTAGTGGTTGAAGATTCAAATATGAAATAAAGACAATGTTCCCACAAATTGTACGAATAATGTAATTTATAAAGAAGTTTTTCAAAATTTGTAAAATAAAGAATTTTTGTTCCTTAAAATAATATAATGTATATATTATATTAGATATCATTTTTTAACATAAAAAAATATTAATTTAGTAATGTAAATATGACGCGTGCAACGCACGAGTGTGATATGGTTAGTTCTCAAACACTATCTCAATAAATCATAAGTCCAACGCGCTAGCTAGGCTAGCTTTCATATCTTTCACCGTGTCCCTCTGATCATCTGTCCCATCGCCTCTCTGTCTCTCTGCTTATCTCTGAACTCAGCCAGAACCAACCTCAATTATTACCATCATTATCATCTCCCTATTATTTCCCTATCACCATCACAGCGGACTGACTCACTGGGTGAACAGAACATTGTTCCATGAAATAAAAAAGAAAGAATTTCCAAACCATCAACCCAATCAATTCAGTATTGCTCAAACAATAATAAAAAGAGAGAGAAGACTTTCCAAATCATCTCTCAGGTAAACACTATTGCTTTGGATAATGTACCACTAAATGCATGCCACCATGCAATGTTGAGATCTTTATCCCTTTTTTTCCTGATTTGTATTAATCAGTTTTTAATGTGTGACAAATTGGTTTCTTGGGGTGTTTCTTTCTGGGTTTCTAAAATTGTCTAGATTTTGGGTATATTTAAGTAAGATTTGGTCTGTGTTCCATCCCAAAAGGTCAAATGGGTTTATGTTGTTTACGAGTGTCTCCTGTATTTTTCTGGATTTGGTTTAATGTACGACAGAATCTTGGAGATTTTCTTGTCATATTTCTTTCATGTTCTCCAGATTCCTTAAAAATTGACTCAGTACAGATTTTCTCCTGTGGGGGAGAAATTTAGCCCTGCCTCATGTGCACTAACAGTGGATTTTTGATGGTAGTGTCTAATCATGGAATTTTTAGTGTTATTTTTCACTTTACATTCGTCTATAAAAGTCCACCCTTTCTCAATTGGAGTCCACTGTTTTTCTTCTTTATGTGATTAAGATTTGGTTTTATTATGTTTACGTTTGTAGGAGAGAAGAAATACACAATTTGATATTCCTTAATCTGGTTTGAGCGCAGCTTTGTGGTTCAGTATGATGATGTTTGAGGAGATGGGGTTCTGTGGGGATCTCGATTTCTTCCCCAATCCGGTCAAGCCGCCGGTTCCTCTTCCTGGCGGCTCGGCTGAACCGGCGGCTGAGGATGAGTACAGCGACGAAGAGATTGACGTGGACGAGCTGGAGAGGAGGATGTGGCGGGATAAGATGAAATTGAAGAGGTTGAAAGAGATGAGCCGGAGCAATGAGGGCGGGGTACCGGACACCGCGAAGCAACGGCAGTCCCAGGAACAGGCGAGGCGGAAGAAGATGTCCCGGGCGCAGGACGGGATCTTGAAGTACATGTTGAAGATGATGGAGGTGTGTAAAGCCCAAGGCTTCGTTTACGGGATCATCCCTGAGAAAGGGAAGCCCGTCAGCGGGGCTTCCGACAATCTAAGGGAGTGGTGGAAGGACAAGGTGAGGTTCGACCGGAACGGTCCCGAGGCCATTTCCAAGTACCAAACTGAGAACTCAATCCCTGGTGGGAGCGAGGGGTCTGAACCTGTGGGACCAACCCCTCACACATTGCAGGAGCTCCAGGACACCACCCTGGGCTCTCTGTTGTCTGCTTTGATGCAGCATTGTGAGCCGCCTCAAAGACGGTTTCCCTTGGAGAAAGGGGTTCCCCCGCCGTGGTGGCCCACGGGGAACGAGGACTGGTGGCCCCAATTGGGGTTGCCGAAGGAGAACGCCCCCCCGCCTTATAAAAAGCCTCACGACTTAAAAAAGGTGTGGAAGGTCGGGGTCCTGACCGCCGTGATCAAGCACCTGCACCCGGACATAGCCAAAATCCGGAAGCTGGTCAGGCAGTCCAAGTGCTTGCAAGACAAAATGACTGCCAAAGAGAGTGCAACCTGGCTTGCCATCATTAACCAAGAGGAGTCCCTGGCCCGCGAACTCTACCCAGACCGCTGCCCGCAACTGCCCCCCTCGCCCGGCACCAACACACCCTTCACCCTGACCGAAAGGGGCGAGTACGACGTCATCGACGGTCCACACCACATGATGAATGATGTCCCGGAACCCAAACCGAGCAACCTCTGCTTCATGAACTTGGGAGTTGTTGATAATAACTTCCAAAACGGTGGCGGGATCATAACCAACATGGATTTCACAAGAAAGAGGAAGGCGGGAAACGACCCGCCTACCGCCCTTCCGGACCACAAAATCTTCACGTGCGACGCGATTCGTTGCCCCCACAGCGAGATCCGTCTCGGTTTCCAAGACAGATCAGCCAGGGACAACCATCAGCTGTCCTGCCCTTTCAGGGACTCAGCACAATTCGGGATGCACATGAATCACCACTTTCATCAAGTGGCCAAGCCACCCGGGAGGGTCTTCGCACAACCATCAATCGTTCAACAACCGAATAATGATCTGTCGGGCCTCGGGGTCCCAGAAGACGGGCAAAGGACGATTAACGACCTCATGTCGTTGTACGACACAAACATTCAATGTAAAGAGCAATCTGCAGGAGTGGTCGTCATGGAGAACAATCATAACAGTAGTCTTCCTTCATTTGGTTCATTATTCTTCAACTGCAGAAGCTCGAATAATAATGAGAGTTTCCCATTCATGTTTGGGACTCCTTTCAATATGCAAGCCGCAGATTTCGCCGAATCTCTAACGGCAGTTTCTCGGGATGCCATTTTGCCAAAAAAAGATGTTCCTATCTGGTAATAATATCTCAGCTGGCTGCTTAATTATTAATTAATTATCAGAATTGTGCCGCCTCTTCTTTGTTTTAGACTTCTTGTCTTAGTGCCAAATATTGTAAGTCCGTTTTCTTGGTTTATGTTGCCCTCTAATTCTCAACAGCATTATTGTTCTACAATGCTTTGATGTAATTAATTAAGTTTGTGTTATTATTCCTTAAACGGTGCAAATTCAATTGCTTGGTGGTGCAGTTTAGCTATAAAGGGAATGTTTTCAATAACTAAGGACCCGTTTGGTAAAATTCAGAGATATGATAAGATATGAGTTATCAACTTCTGGAGAAATGATATGAGTTTTAAAATCTAAAACGAATTTATTTGAATAGATTTAAAATCATGATTTAATCAGTGACAAGCGGGGATGACCGGCAAAAGGAGTGGTTGGCGGGGAATGATCAACGGTTGAGAGTGATATTAAACTCCCATATTGATATCTCCAAAGTTCAGAAGATATCGAAATCTTACATTTTGAATATTTATGATATCTGAAGATATCGAATTTGATATGTTCTTTGGCCTCACCAAACGCTAGAAAAGAATTTTGATATCAGGAGATATCAAAATTCATATCATGTTTGCTCACCAAACACAGTCGAATACTCCCTTCGTCCGGATATGGTTCTCAGGACTCAGGTACGGAGTAACAATTTTGGGTGCCCAAAAATAATCTTTCTATTAACTTTTTAACATGTTAAATGTAGTACCATAATTAAGGATACTCTTCGAGTTTATTAGACGTCATCTATCTCATTTAATACATTCTAGCCACGATTATTAAGGGTAAATTCGATATTTTACATGGTTTTTCAAACTCCCATTAAAATGAATGAAAAGTCAATTTGAGAAAATCATTTTTGGATGAAGCTACTTAGCTACGGGAAGTAGTTAACTAAGCCGATGTAAGAAGTAAGAGAGCTTCTTTGGTGCACCCTGAGTGCATATTATTTTTGTGGACATTCTCACATAAATTTTGTTGTTTTATTTTTTTAATTTAAAAAAATACTTATTTAAATAATAAAAAAATTCTTATTTTAATAATATGTAGGTTCATGGTGGACCTAAGGTCCACCATAGAATTTGCCAAGAAGTAAAAAGAAGTATAAAATTGATTTTGGGCCATAAGGATTATTGAAAATTCTTCCGTGTACCTAAGTTTCATACTCATTATATGGACCGGACCTTAGTGCATTGGTTGTATAAAAGAAGTAGACATTTTCAAAAAAAAATATTCACATGCAAGCTCATAAAAGATGTGAGAAGATCCACATTTTAAATGCCAATCTTGAAACCATGCAAGCATCACTCATAAGTTTAGAATATCTAAAATAAGTAGATGTTTGTTTTTAATTAATAGGAGTATGATACTCCTTCGGTCCCAAAATGTCTGTCATATTTGTTTTTTCAACCGTCACAGAAACTTTTGTTTATTTATATGTTTTCATTGATTATTTGATAAAATAAAATATTCTTGACACCTCTTATTTCAAAAAAAATTTCATGTAGTTTTTAAAAATGTAAATTTTATTTTTTTATTTCTATACCAATATTCAAATAAAATGAAAAGAAAAAATAATAATATTTTACCTCATTTTTTTTAAATGTAATAAATATTTAGGAAGGGAGGAGTATAAATGGCTTAAACAAGATAGTGACCCTGTTTAGAATTTAGTTGTTGGCTGATAGCTGTTCGTGTTGGCTGGTTTGAACGGCTGGTTGAGTTGGCAGCTTTGACCAATCTATTATGTTGGCTGTTGATAAAAAATATTTTGCAAATTTAGCTTCTTCAAAATAGCTTTTATAAATTGAATTTAATTTAATAAAATTTTCACCTCTATAATTATATGGTATAACATGTTTTGCAATATATATTCTTTCTTTTCTCAAATAAAATTTTAAGCTATATATAGTTCAAAAGTCATTATGATTTTATTTATTTATGTGTTTTTATCAATGAATTGATAGAATAATATAATTATACGGGGTATCATATTTTGTTTCAAAAAACTTTTGATATAGTTCTTAAATTTATAATTGTCTATTTCTACACCAAAATCTTAAAAACAAATTAGATTTTTTTTGTTCTCGAAAATCGCTTCATGAAATTTACATGGGGAAGGACTATTTATTATTTATTACTTTATTAATATACATATTATTTACTTATTTATTTTCTTAGTTATTATTTTATTTACTTATTTACTTATCGATTTTTTATTTATATATTTATTTGAATACCAATTTTATTATTTAATTACACAATAAATAATAATTTTTTATTTATTCATAAAAATTACATACAATAACAGATAATGAATAAATCCATATTCCAACAGCCAAACTGAAATGCTACTTCCCGTAGTTTTTTAAATTTTGGCTTTTCGGGCTCAAACAGCCAACCCTTGCAGCTAGGGCTGTTCATCGGTCTAAGACCGGACCGACCCAGACCGGACCGAAGACCGAAATGAGTAAATTCAAGGACCGAAGACCGGACCTAAATCTACTCGGGTTTGGACCGGACCGGACCGAAATATTTAGGACCGAACCGGTCCGGACTGATTGGACCGAAAAAAATACATATTTTTTTTAATTATTTTGATCAATTAAATATATTTTAGACTTTTTACTTTGTACCATTCAAATAGAAAATGAATAAAAAAAATATGCAACCTTAAAATGAATACACAATATGAACTATTTCAATGTAGAAACATAAAAACAAATATGAAATGTTTTTTTTAGATTTTTTAAAAAAGTACTTAATAAAAAACCTTTTTAATTAAATAAATTAAAATATCTATTAAAATAGAGCATTAAAGTGTAATACGGAACTTAAAAAGTAGAGTTTTAGTATTTAGGTCTTTTAGGTCCAGTAGGGTCATTAGGTCCAACCGGTCCAATCGGTCCGGACCTAAATCATTTCGGGTTTGGACCGGACCGGACCGAAACCCGAATGTCTAAATTTTCTGGACCGAAGACCGACCCGAAATCCATTCGGTCTGGGTTCGGTCTGGACCTAACGGTCCGGTTCGGTCGGTTTTTTCGGTCCGGACCTAAATGTGAACAGCCCTACTTGCAGCCAACTACCAAACACTTTTTTTGGAAGTTTGACCAGTCAAATCCGCTAAAATGGGTCAAAACATACAAAAGCCATCCCAAATGCCAACAACCAAACATGCCCCGTAAATAGTACGAAGTAGTTCATATGGAAATTTGTGTGATGGCAGGCCAAACAAGATTGGCGAGACTGACCTAAGGCTGCGTTTCGTTCGCGTGATCTGATCTGATTTTTTGAAGATCTGGTATGAGCTGATTACAGTTTTAATTAGAGTTGTTTCTGATCTGATCTAATCTGGTCTGATCTGATTGTATTGTAAAAAGAATAAGTAATAAGCAGAAAAAATAAGCTGAACGAAACACTGTCTAAGACCGGCTTCTAATATTATTCAATCTTTTAACATAAGTGGAGGATTACACTGCAGGTATAAAATCATTGGTTCTTTTCTATCTTTATACTCCGTATTAAATTTAGATATATGTACACGACTCTTAAAAAGGTCAAGTTTGACTCAAATGACCAACTTGTGAGTCCAAAACATGCAAATCTAATCTGTGTTTGATAAAAATATCATATTGATCTCCTCCACCATACTGGTTAAGTTTAACTCTTTCGATTTAAACTGAATAAAATTTAGACCTTAACTAAATAAACACAGTAATATATATTAGTATAAAAATAATTTAGATATATTTATCTTATTGAAAACTTTCAGAATTCTATTTCTTTGTAATAATATACAATGGGAATAGAGTGTAATTTTTTATTATAGTTTATCTAGTTTGACTTGAAAAAATGATGAAAGGATAATTTGATTTTCATGATTTTTTATGAAATGCTTTTAGTCATTGATACCAATAGTGTTTCTATTTAATCACTTTTTATGAACCTCATAGGGAGTTTTTTTAACAGTTACATTTCAAAGAATCTCAGTAGTTCAGTGTTTTTTTAATGGTAAAAAATCACCAAGTAGGAGGATCGAGGGCTCGGGTATAAATGAGTAAGCAAAGAGCGTAAGTAAGAATGTAGTAAAGAGTGAAGGGGTGCAATATAGGAGTATTATTCACTTACATTCGGAAGGGGTGAGGGTATTTATACTACCACAAATCATTGATTACGACGGTAGTAGACCGTGATTGATACTCCTTTGTCGGCTAGCTATTTTCATTAGCCGATGGAATCTTATAGGTACACTCCATTCAATGAATTCGTCTCACGACATGCCAGAGCTTGACCATCACTCCTTATAGGTTTCACATTCCTTTTTCGGGTACAATGTTATCCTCGCGGGCTCCTCGTCGTCGTCTCCCCAATAGACCATGTTATGCCGAGGTGCTGGACTCGATCTTAGCCGACCGAGAGAGTGGGCTCAATTGTGGGTGTGCCGAGCGAGTGGACCCGACCTATCAAGAACTTCTCGTCAGAAGCAGTCTCCTGACACGTGGCCTTGTGGGGACCCGTGTGGGGCCTTCTATGGTGCTTTTGCTGATGTGGAGTTACCCTCCATCATAAGCCCCCCACTCTCTCAGCCATTTTACTCTAGGAGGAAAGGCGAGCGAGAGTAGAATGCAGCATCGATGGTTGAGCGTGTGGGTCCAGGCACTGACAAGATGCCTACCCGTACAATACCGTTTTGCTTTCCAAGTGAGGCACCTACGCTGCTCCATTCGAAAAATAGATATGATGGTCCTACCCCTGCCCCCTTCGATCATTGATTGGCCGCAATATATATATATATATATATATATATATATATATATATATATATATATATAGAGAGAGAGAGAGAGAGAGAGAGAGAGAGAGAGAGAGAGAGAGAGATTGGTTCTGGTGAGAATGAAATCTAATGAAAGAAATAAGAATGAATCTAGGCCGTTAGATTTGATCCTCCATGCGCTGACTTGAGCGATCTACTCATGGGCTTTTTGGGATTTACACAATTCAGTCGTATCTCAATCTTTTCTCTCTCCCATTTATTTCCGAAAAATCCTCTGCGATCTACGATCTCACTGTATCCCTCACCCTCTATGCCTCTAAAAAATTTTCAGAAACAGAAAAGAGAGAGATCTCATCCAATATGAGGAAGCAGTATGAATATATGATGGAGAATCTATAAGCTATCCAGTTTAGCCCACTCCATAATCCCATCCGGCCTATTTTTTTTATCAAATCCCTCTCTTCACCTTCAAATCCCCTTTCAGACCTGCAAGTTTTTAAATCGGCACAACCTCAGGTATGATTTCTTTCCTTTTCTTTATTTTCTTTTTTGTTCCCAATTTTAAGCAATATAAACTTGATTACATTACATTAAATCATAGGATAAATTGAATTCACAAGGTCTAGAAATCTTCAATGTGCCATGAGCCCTCCCACTTTGGTATTCTTCATTTTCTCTTTTTTTTAAATCTGTTTATGTGTTGGTATGCCTTTTAGATTCATTGTTATTCTTCCATTTTTGTTCACTTAATTTATTTCTCATGATTTTTTATAGCTAGTCTAATTTAAATGCAATCTGAATGCATTTATATTGAATTGTGATGCACAAATGGTCAAAGATAAGCGTTGGTTAGTCCTTATCTATTAGTCTTTTTGCTGCATATCGTGTGTATTTCTTTAACATTTTCTCTTTCTTACAAGTTTCCATTCACTTTATTTTTCTTGACTAATTAGGTATAATATTGCATTTAGTAGTGTGCACTCTGGATTTTGAAATGCATAGCATCGACATTCGCTCATGGAGATAGGTAATTCTAAATCTTATTTCATTGCAACATATCAAATTATCAGATTACGTTCTCAATTCTCTTGCTTGTATTGTATTATTTTTCTCTTTCACAACATACAGAGTATTTGTTTATAGAAATTTTAAATCAATTATGATTTTCATTTTTTGTTTAATATCCTCTTTGAGAGAGTGTCGAAACTTTACATTTGTTGTATTCATTAGTGGCAAGCATCTTTGTATTTTTCACTTTATTATTTGAGTTTTACGACTTGTTATTTAAAAAGGTTTAATATGGAGTAGGTCTAATTTAATGTATATTCTTCTTGTTGTTCTTCTCCCTGTAGTATGAGTGTTATAAAAAGGGGTGGATGCTCTTCAGCTTGAAGCATCATTCTTAAAATAATATGCATCATGTATCACTAATATATGCATCATTGTTAAAATGATATTCTTTCAACAATATATGCATTGTTGACCTTTTTAAATGAAAGAAAAAACTTGCAAGAGTACGCTGGACAAGTTTATGGATGTTGATCTTATTCATGTTCTAGAATTTCTAAATGGTTTGATTAATCGAATCATAGTGGTAATTGATTAGTAGTTATTCTCTCTTAGTAAGAATGACCTGATTCACTCTAGTTTCTTGTCACTTGTGAGCAATTACATGTGTTTAGATCTGTTTTAGATTAGTATTATTTCTGTCTCATTTCATATTTTTTTTATAGGATCTTCAAAAGAATTTGGTTTGGATTTTATGTTAAACAGGGAGTAGTCCAATTTTATGTACATTTTTCTTATTGCTCTTCTCCATGTGATTTTGGTGTTAAATCATGTTGGCCTTAGATTCTTTTGCATACATCATACTTTGGAGTTTGCTCACTCTTTGTTGTTTCTTTTACATATACCACCACACACTCTGTAGTTAGTTCTGCAAATTCCCCGAACCTTTTGGAAACTATGTACATCACATTGTTGCTTTTAATTTCTTTCTTTTTTACTTTTTGTTTGCTTTTATGTGTTATATTATTGAAAATTGTTGACCTTGACAATGTTGTTGAACAAGTTTGTCTTCAATGGAGGTGTACATTGGTGCTTTTATTTTGTTTCTTATCTTTTACATTTTGTTTGCTTTTTTTGTTATTGTGCATTATTGGAATCAAGGTAATGCATTTATACGAGAAGACAAAACATTCTCAGATTCAAACTAAAGGATAATACATTCTGTTATTACATGTGCATTCTAAAAATCAAAGTTGATGTGTCTAATGGTGAAATTCTCCCGACACAAACATGATGCATTTGTATCTTGTGCATAGTGAAGTTTTTGCCAACAATGATGCATTTATAATATTCTATGATGCATTTGAATATGAATTAGAAACACGTTGAATGATGCCTATCTTAAAATATAATAATGGGTATTTAATAGGTCCAAGTGCAAGTTGAGATTTCCTTTGAAAAAATAAATCGTTGCCTATTAGCTCAAATGGTAGAACAGTATGTACTACGGATGTGGGTTCGAATCCCACATAGGCTAACTATTTCTCCATTTTGTATTATCTTGGTTCTGAATATAATGCATTCTCATACTTTCTTATCAGATACAAATCATTCAAGAGTCATTATTCACTAATTCACAAGTTAATAAAATAAAATTTAAATTGAATCTAATAAACAAATCTCAATGCATATATAGATTATTACAGTGCATTCGTTATTAGTTGCGTCTACATATTTTAGATGTAAATTTTGCATTCTTTAGAATGGACACTGCATCAAGACAAAAATATCAAGATGTCACCAGATTTTTTTTATTTAATCACCCTAAACAACTAAATAAATTAAAAACCCATACTGCCTCATATCCCAAGTCCTTTTCTATTTCTATTGACAATGAATTTGAAAAAGAAAAAAAAAGAAACATGGGAATAATGCATGGAGTTCTAATGGGGTGGTATGGGTGGAAAAAGAGATAGTGGCTTATTCTACCGTTTAAAAAAGCAACCTAAGATTACAATAATACCCTTCTCAACCGTTTCCCCCTAATTACATGCACTAAAATATAGGCTTTCTATATGAAGCCAATTTTAAAAGAAAAAATAATGCACACATCGTGACCGTGCGATTTTCCTTATCCAGCGGCAATCTTCCATTCTTATTTCTTTCACCAAGCACCCTTCTCACAGGAACCGGCCCATATATATATATATATATATATATATATATATATATATATATATATATATATATATATATATATATATATATATATATATATATATATATATATATATATATATATATGGGATTAACTCCACTGAGATGACACCTTATGGTGCGATGACATGCTTCGGTCAGATGACGCAAAGCTCACCACTGCCCACTGCAAAGCTCACTAAGCACAACTATAAAGCTCACCAAACTGTAAGGCAAAGATCACCATATTTTTTTCAACACTTTGAATTTTTTTGAAAAAATAAAATCAAAAGAAGGGGTGCTGACTAGACTTTGACCGTTGACTCCAGCATTGACCGCTGCCTGCCGCCGCCGGTCTCCGGTCGCCGGTCGCCGCCGGCCGCTGTTGACCGGTGTTGTTATTTTATTTTTAATTAATTTTTTAATTTTCAAAATTAAAAAAAAGGTGAGTTTTGGGGTTCAAAGTAGTGAGCTTTGCTTTATTTCCAGGTGAGCTTTGCATTGTCCACCAACTTTGTAGTGTAGTGTGTTGAGCTTTGCGTCATCTGACCGAAGCATGTCATCGCACTGTATGGTGTCATCTCACTGGAGTCAATCCCTATATATATATATATATATATATATATATATATATATATATATATATATATATATATAAAATCACCTTGTAGGATAGTGAGGTCGGTCCATTACAACATTTTTATTTATTACGTCATGATATATATTCATTGTAAAATGTACTAGTATACAAATATATATGATATTCCATGATACACACACACACACACATCTATATACATATATATATATATAGACACACACACATGCGCGCACACACACTAACACACACAAATTAAATATATATGCTACACTTTCCTTTTTCAAATAACCTCTACACTATCCTAAAAAAACATACTCCCTCCCTGGAAATCTTTCTCCTTTCTTTTTTCACCCGTCCCAAAATACACTTCTTATTTCTATTAAAAAGTCACTTTTACCCCTTACCTATTCATACCCTACATATCACATCATACCTTTTTACTAATAATCTATCCATCAAATCCTATTTTTTTCCATCATATCAAAGGACATTTTTGAAAATTCAATATCAAAATACACTCCCTTAAATCTCTTCAAAATCAAAACATCTGATGTTTAAAGAAATCGAGGGAGTACTTTTTATATTTTTGAACCGCCTCTTTTAAGAGTTGAATATGTGACTCTTAAACTCTCTCCTCTTCCTAAGAAAACTTCAACCACCTTTATTTTTTTTATCAAACATAATTCCACGTCTAACACTTTTTTTAAAAATTGCATGAAGTTAAGTGTAAACTTCATTTTAAAATAGGCCTAATTGTTCAAAGTGAAACTGTAGCATTGAAAATCATGGAAAAGAATATAAAAAATTAGATATGAAAAAATAAGAAAGCATTCCGAAGTTAGTGTAGTTCTCATTTTCGTGCATGTAGTTTTACAAAATATAGTATAAAACTAGGATTACTCAAAATGTAGTTTTACAAAATATAGTATAAAATTGCGGAGTATATATAAAGAAGAGAAATAGTTCCTCCATCCCTTACTATTTCGCACATTTTCATTTTTGTGATTTTCTGATTCATTTTGTTATTTTTTTGGAAATTTCATTTTATTCACATCAAGTTTTCTTGTATTTGTTTTAATTAAATTTTAATCAATTCGAATTCTTTAAATTTTCTATCTGCATTATATAATTGAGTGTTTCAAGTATAGACATTTTGTCCATATAACAACACAAACAAATTAGTAATAATATAAATAAAATAAATGCCCCAAAAAATTAAACCAAATAAATACCTATCATAATAATATAAAATATTAATATAGCAATTAAGAAGATCCACAAATTTTTATATAGAGTTTAGAGCATTTAAAAATTAAAATGAGAGGGAATCTTGCCCCGCTATTCCGGCCCGCGTCACGGCTTGTTTTTCACTGCTCAGGTTGCAGTGGAAGCCCGGCGCTGTGGGTGTGCTTTTCGGTGCGGTGCAGCGAGTTTAGGGGATCCATTGTACATGTTCTTAGGTTCACCGAAGAAATCACTTATATAATTTTGAATTTCGTACAATTGTACATATCTTTTGAATTTTACTCTTATACTAGTGGTAATGGTCGTAGAGTCGAGGGGCATCACAAGTAGTTTAATGGAATCGGGGCGTTAAACACCGCCCCCCTATCACGATAAACAGACTTCGCTGGGGATGCGTTAAACGTTTAACGCAAAGAAAAGGGGAATGAGTGAGCTGAGCCGTTGGAGGCCCAAACGGCTACAATGCCGTTGGGCACTGTTAAACGTTTTTTGACATTATAAATACCCCTTATTTTTAACACAACAAACACACACAACCTATCATCATTCTCTCCATAATTCTTCCAAAATATATCTTATTTCTTTTAATTCTCTCTACAAAATATTTGAAATATGGGAGCATCATCATATGATGATGAAAATAGAGTTCTCATTTTTCTTTGCTTCGCGACGGGTTGTTATCAATGGTGGCAACAAGCCCAACGAGAAGAAGCAGAATCCTCCCGACGCCGACACCCGACCCGACGTGAGCGTTTACACCATGATCGGGCGGCTGCACACGCTTCACTACTCAACGACTACTTTAATATTCCGTGTTTCTACACACTGGAGGATTTTAGGAATCGTTTTCGAGTGAGCCATTCTCTTTTTTATGCATACTCGCCGATATTGAACGTGTAGAAAAATAATAATGGAGAATAATTTTATATTGAATTGTCTTGGAGATTACAAAGATTCAACCCTCTTTATATAGATATAGGGTCAAACAAATAAGTAAAGTTCTATTCTTACCATAATTCTATTCCTACTATAATAAGAATAGGAAAACTATCAAACCCTAAAACATATCCTAACACTCCCCCTCGAGTTGAGAATGAGGATCACGAATGAACAACTTGAACAATAAAACCAGAAAAAAACAACAATAAATAACTTCGACAGTGTCTAGACGAAGACGAACGGATCTGACGACAGACGAACGGACGAGACTTCTGTCGACAGACGAACGGATCTAACGGACAATGACGTCGAACTGATGAACGAATATAGACCTGATAGACTGTATGGCCGAATTGCAGATCTCGACTGCCTGACTTTTATCGACTGAAGAATGGAGCTGACGAGCAACGATGTTGGACTAATGAACGAAGACGGACGTGATAGAACGTGATAGACTATGTGGTCGAGTTACGGATCAAGAACGGTGGAGGGACGACGAATGAACGGACCTTACGGATGACAGCGTCGGACTGATGAATGAAGTCAATAGACGCTTATCCTTGGAAGTTATATTGGTACGACACTTTGTTAGGGCTTACCAATTTTCCCAAGAAATATTTAGAATGGATCTTGATTGACAGAAGGGTCGAGCAAACGAACAACCAAAATTTGATGACGAATGACTCTCACGCGGGACGACAAACAAACAGACAGAATGTTGTCGGACTAAGGATCGACGATCGACCCCCATAAACTGACATGCCGTGCGTATGGCAGGTAGTGACTAAATATACCAAACAAGTCAAACAACCAAATACTATGCCATCAAAACGTCGATCGAACGGTGGACGAAATACTGGACATAAACCTCTTCTGTGGATTATCAGCATCATAGAACAAAACCAATGGACCAACTAGTGAAAGTTGATGAACCCCAAAAGCAAACCATCATCATCCCGGCTGGACCAAACAAAGTTGAGTAAAAAGACTTCCCAAACCGCTGGTTGGTGATTGGGCCAAACAATATAATTATGGCCCAACAAATTACAAATATGCAACACTATAGATTAAGAAATACCCTTGGTGGTAATTCATGATCCTATTTGTGATGGGTAGATAAGGATCGAAGACGGAGTCATAGACGAATTGTGATGTCAATATGAGATAGGAAACAACGGTGACTCAAGTATGTGAAATGGATGAACACCCATACTGCTCCCGAAGAGGATTGTGCACGGGAGGTTGAGCAAATGCAGATTCGGACGACTCTGGTTACGAGGGGCAGCTTCAACGCCACGCCATGTCGATTAACGACGTTGTTTGTACTTGGACTATACCAACAAAACTAGATCTAAGGCGGAGGCGATGAATATGGATGCTTAACAACAAACAATAGAAAAACATTGGAGTAAAAAAATTGTAAAGAAAACGAGGTTGATGCCGGTGATTTGAGACACCGGCTTTGATGCCGCCGCCAAACAAACAACAGGCGACGGCGACAGAGGGGCAAATCGGTGGAAGACTAACTATGGTTTATAGGCCTAGAACTTGGCTTTGGACAACAGCCCGATGGACAGCTAATGGTGGTGGCGCCGCCCAACAGGTGCGAAGAAACAATTTTTAGGCCACCAAGAACGTTGGCTTTGATACCATGTAGAAAAATAATAATGGAGAATAATTTTATATTGAATTGTCTTGTAGATTACAAAGATTCAACCTTCTTTATATAGATATAGGGTCAAAAAAATAAGTAAAGTTCTATTCCTACCATAATTCTATTCCTACTATAATAATAATAGGAAATTTATAAAACTCTAAAACATATCCTAACAGAACGTGAGGTGCCTTATTTCACCCAACGCTTTGATGCGAGAGGCCGACACAATTTTAGCAGTGTCTAGAAGTGAATCGTCGCGTTTCGTCAGATGACGTACGGGACGACATTTGATATGTTCGACAAATACTTGAAGATGTCAGCTCGAAGCATCAATTCATGTGTTTATAAATTTTTTAAAGCTATTATTTGACTTTATCATAAAAGGTATTTACGTAAGCTGACCGCGAGCGATATTGAGTAGCTGCAGACTAGGCATGCCGGTAAACATGGCTTTTTTGGCATGCTTTGGAGCATCGACTGCACGCATTGGGAATGGAAATTTGTCCCAATGTGTGGGATGGTTAGTTCTCCTAAGGCCATCATCCCAAGCGTACTAATAACTTATGGTTTTGACATGCGTTTTTTGGTGTTGCGGGCTTGAATAATGAGATCAATGTTCTTCATCAATCGCCTGTTTTTGACGATTGGATTAAAGAGACTGCACCCGACTCGTCTTTTGAGCTTAGAGGGATGCTTTACAATCGTGGATATTATCTTGCGAATGAAATATATCCAGATTCTTTCACGATTGTGAAGTCCCTCTTTGAATCAAAGGGTCTTAAATGCCAGACCTACAAAAAAGCTCATGAGGCGCCGAGAAAAGATATCGGACGAGCCTTCACGGTGTTGAAGGGTAAGTGTCACGTTCTAGATCGTCCGTCCAAGTGTTATTCTCAAACAAAAATGAGGAATATCATGTACGAATGCATTATTCTTCATAATATGATCGTAGAGGACAACGAATTTGTAATATGTCATATAACCCGGAAGAGGAGGCTCCTACGTACGAAGAAATCGATGAAAAAAAGAAACGAAGAAACCACCAAGAAACTCAAAACCGAGAGATTCACAATGCACTATCGGCGGATTATATTGAAGATATTTTTAATTGCTCGAAATCTCTCAAATAATCACCACTTTCTTCGTAATGTAATGTAATTTTTATTTTTTTTCTTTATGTCGTTGTTATTCAAACCTTATTTAATTAATGTAATTTTTATTAAATGTATTTTTTATTTAATGAATTATTGTCCTTTAAATTTTATTAAATTTAATTCATTGAATTTAATGAATTATTTTCCTTTTTAACATTTCATTATTTAATTAAATAATGAAATGTTATTAATTTAATTTTAGAAGATGTGTATTTAAAAATGTAAAAAATAGATGATCGAAGCCCTAGTTTAAAGCCCCGAGACTTCAAACTCATTCTTAGTAAAATTTTGGTGTAAGTTAAAGCTGATGTGACAGAGAGAGAATGTATGAAGCCCTAGAGCTTCAAGACCATTACCAGTGCTCTTAATATACAAGCATGTGAAAGTTAAATTATATGGAGCATATAGCATTTAGAAATGAAAAAAATAAGGAAAAATTATCACCAATAATCCCACCTTTGCCAACTTTTTCAAAAATAATCTCACTTTTCCGAGTGGTCAATAATAAGCCAAGGCTGTACCGTCTCTGTCAGAACTGGGCATCCGTTTAAAGCTTAATGTATGACTAACAGGAATCTGATTTGGCTATACACGTGGATATTACATGTATTATCTTCGTATCCCTTCCTCCTTCTCCATCGAAAATCAATCCAACATATCCATCGCACTTCTGACCTATCGAAAAGAACTCCAAAAGCCCCTGACCTCCTTCCCCACAGAAAAACATCTCAAAACCCTCATCAAAATTTTGATTCTGTGCTAACCCTAATTGGATTAAGAGTTCTCAAGCTGTCTCAACGCCTTATCATCACAAAATAGATCATTTACATACAATTAGAAGTATTATTATGGAACCCTAGGTCTAAATGTACTTTTAGAGTGCGATTCTAAAAATATTAGTAATACCCTAATATGTGAGTCTTATTCTTCGTCCCACACAAAATTTAGAACCCTTCTTTGATTTTTACCCTCACTGAGCATCAGTCCAATGGATGAGTTTGGCTCTTTAATTTTCTACTTTTCCAAAATATACTTTTATCTCTGGGTTAGGCTTCTATCCAACGGAAAAACAACGAAATACTAGTGCATACCTGATTTTTTTTCTTTTTTTCTTCCTCTTTGGCTATGGCAGATGGAGAGCTCTGGAACCCAATTAGGGTTAGCTGCTGAGAAGGTTCGCGTAATAAGGTTATCGATCCTTAGGGATAGAAATATACTACGTTAAGCCAAATCAGATAACCTATTGATATGTCGTCTAATGTATTAATCTGTATTAATCTACCTGTAATTGCCAAATCAGATTCCTGTTAGTCGTACGTTAAGCTTTAAACGGATGCCCAATTCTAACAGAGAGTGTACAACCTTTACTTATTACTGACCACTCGGAAAGGTGGGATTATTGGTGAAAATATTTCCAAAAAATAATATGAACCATACAGTTTTTTTTAGAATTTTATATATACATACACACACACTTTATTCGATGTTCCAAAATGAAAAATAGAACCATAATTTCTGAACGAAAGGAGGATAATTTTGAGCAGGTCAAATCAAATACATGAGTGATGAACTCGAGCAATAAATTAAAGACAAATGGATTTGAAGGTTCACAAAATGGTGCAACAAACAGATGTGCGTATTTTGAATGTATTCGGTTCATGAACAAGGCCTGTCCCTTATTGAAAGACACTTGATCTTGATCTGCCAACTATACTTATTTTAATTTAAAAAAGAAAAACCCTTTTTTTTCAATCCAAAATTCGGTCCGCTTAATTTTAACAAAAATGCTAGGGGTGCACAAAAGATTACATAAATGTACAGCACCCCCTTCATTACCACATATTTTGGAATGTAAAATAAAAAAGAAATAAATAAATAAAAATAAGTGATAATGGTGTACATTTGGGGTACACTTTTGGTATACCCCTAGCATTCCCCTAGTTTTTAGCCAGAACCATGCTACACTTACACCAAAATTTATATCCCAAACTTACACCAAAAATATACACCAACATTTTGACGGTTGGTACTGAGACAAAGTGTTGGTGCGTTAACAAAAATTAGCATTACACCAACACAAAATGTTGGTGCAGACTTGCTCCGTATAAATGGGGTATAAACCCTTGGGATGTACGGTAAAAACTTTATGCCTTTATCCAACACAACCACCGCCAAGAAGTGAAGTAAATTGACTAACTCAATAACTTGGTAGAGTAGCCTAGTTCGATATATGATGCTATACTAAATTGGGAAGCAAGTGTTTTTATCCAACCTTAGACTTGGAGTAATATTTTTTTGTAAAACCTTGATTTTTCTTTTCAAACCTCAAGTTTATGATTCCATTTTACAGAAATATGTAAAAAATTTACTCCTTATATTGTAATGGCCCTAATGGGTAAAAAATGAAGATGTAAACTTTATTTTACATTCCCCCACGCCACACACACACACATTCATTCTCCTTTTAATGCCCCACCTAACCACCACCACTCCCCTTTATTATATACATACCTCTCCACTCCATTTCTTCACCATTTTGTAACCCCCACACCATTAACACCCACACCTCTCCATCTTCCCTTTGTGGTTTAGCCAAGGCAGCAAAGCAAGGAAGGAGTGCCGGCAAGGTGAGGTAGAAGAAGGAAGAAAAGAAGAAGGTTCACACGTAAGGTCGTTCATTCTGTTTTTTCGTCTGTCACCCCCTTTGTTCTAGAGGTGAGTACGTTGCCCTCTAGCTTTAGAATCCGTAGTAGATTTCATATCGTTATATTTATATAATTACCCGGCTAATTCTATGTTGAATTTGTACACTCGTAGTTTCTTGTTATAAAGACTTTTGTATGAAGTTGCTAAAACAAGAAATCACCTTTTAATTCGTTGGAATCAGTAGGTACTACGTACATTGATATCTTGGTGAATATTAAGTGTTCATCATTGTTTTCAAAAGTTTGAATATGAATAAACAGACCAAAACAAGAACCCGGATGTCGTGATAATCGATTATCAACTTTGATAATCGACTATCTGCACTCGTTGAATTTCCTGTTGGCGGAAGTGTGATATTCTTTTTGGGACGAAAGAAATATATGATGAATTGTATGGAATAACTAGATTTTATCCTAATTTCATCTCATTACAATAAATTTTATTGATTTGAGAGTTAATTTGATTAGTTTCAAACCAATTCACTCAATATTAGTCAATAAAATTAGATGCTAGTGTTAACATTTTGAAAAGACTCTCTAGCGACAGCCTTTACTGTTATCATTTTCAAATTTGATCAACACCATTACATTTAGGTGTAAAATTAATTATATTTGACTCTATTAAATTTAATTTTCTCTATTTTCAACCAAATATACTCAATAATTTACAAATTTTGCACTCAATTGAATAAAATTCACTTAATTTCACCCAATTTTACTCAATTTTTACCAAATTGTATTCAAATGGAACATAAGACTATTTGAATTTATCTTTTATCCTTTCATTTATATACATAAGTATATTAGTATATGTGAGAAAAATTTTATATTTCAAAATTAAATTTTAAAATCAATTTAATTATATTAAATTTATATCATAATTAAAATATATGTTTTCATAATTTGTAGTCCAAATTTGTAAAATATGACTAAAAAGTCAAAAAGGGAAGATTATTTAGGGTAGAGATAATATAACTAGAAAAAAATATAAAATAATATGAGGTATTGAATTGATGATAGATTGATAAATGTGATAAAACATAAAAAGAAACACTGATAGTTAAATTTTAATTAGAAAATAATATATATCCAAAATATATTTGATCCAAAAATTTTAATTAGAAAATAATATATATCCAAAATATATTTGATCCGAAACCGAAATATATCCGACTCAAATTGTATCTGAACCGATTTATAACCGAACCGTATCTGAACCGACTCGAAACCAAACCGAACCGAAAAATGTATAGAACCGAAATCAAATCCGAACCAAAATTTAACCGATCCGATCCGAACCGAACCGATTATAACATATAACCGAAAGATATCCGAACCGAAAAAATCCAACCCGAAACCGATCTGGTTGATCCGATTGCCACCTCTAACTATATCCATATGAAATATTGTTATGTGTTCTACTGCTAGATTACCTCTCAACTTATGCTGAGCGTATAGCGTTGTTTTTGCTATACGCAGGTAGGCGTGATGATAATGGAGCCTGACCCAGATGATTGGGATATCGGGGCGGCAGATAGGCGATGGCGTGGACCTTGTTTATTTCTTACTTAATATTATAAACACTTTTGGGCTTGAACCCACCTTTTTCATACTTAATTTGTTTGGACTGAACGTTTGGTTTTTCTAATGCTTCCGCAACGTAACGTTTCATTTACTCCGGTCATCTAAGGGAATTAATTGTCCCAACGGTTTTTATTTGAATAAACATTTCAAGGGTTTAAGTTTTAAAATGTTAAATTCAATAAGTTTCATTTGGATGATCCTAAATACCATCTCTGTAACCCCTCCGGCCCGTTGGGCAGCAGCGAACCGAGTTTGCGGGACGGAGGGTGTTACACAAACTTCTTAGCTGTGGAGAAAATAGGGAAATGATCTGTGACTTTGAGGATGGATGGACACCCCACGTTTTAATAGTACTGCTGTTGTGGTTATTATAATCTTCTAGGATCTGAACAGGATATTTGCCCAAAGGGGTAAAAAGAAAAGATGAATTAATGTCTTTGTCCTTTTCTTGCATGTCACTGATGGCATTGTTCCTACTTTTTCCTGAACGAGTTGTAATGCTATAGGCATGATTTAAGCTCTTTTGAACAGGTTTCCAAACATAAGTGGTATTTGGATGTGTCTCCTGGCCCCTCTTGGGTCTGTCGTGACCCAATGTCCAACCATCATCATCCTTAACCCTATTGTATGGAAGTAGTGTATGTGTAGCCTAGCACTTCTTAGATTTATAATATCTAGCCATCATTCACTCTAGACTTTCCCACTGTGTGTGAATTTTTTGAAACTTTAGAATACCTCTGACCCCCCCATAGTGGAAATATCCTGCCAAGTTCTGGACTTAGTTTGGCATGTACCCCTTGACTGGTTATTCAATAAACTGCTTGTTAATACCCCTTAAATTGTGATTAGTAGCATAATAGCAGTCTCTAATTGTATGTCCCAATGAACAACAGGAATTACAGAAAGAAGGCGCCCGTTCAAAAGAGCAAGGGAAATCAGAAGTTCAATTTTACTATCAATCTGTGGAAGGATATGTGGTCAATGAAGTGAGTAGGCATGTTGTGCCATTTCGAGGAGCTTCAATTTTCCGAATAGGACCACAGCATTTTGAGCTGTCCTCTTAGAAGAGATCATTGAAGAGTTTTTTATGGGGGGAAAGGCTGCTTAGCTATAGTGGTGAACGTTCCCACCCGAAAACCAGAGGATATATGACAAATGGTATAGAGTTAAAAAATAAAAATTACATATTAAAATGCTACATCAAAAGATCTACAAAACTAGTAGTGAGAATACTACTTTATTTTATCAAATTGTTAACGAAAATAGAAAAAGAAAGTGAATGAAATTTGATCATGTGAATAGTAAACAAGCATTATAAATTATGATGGAGGGAGTACTAGTTTATCCTTGTAGAACCTAGCCAATTTTTTATTTCAAATTTGCAGCGTGCCATCTAAAATAAGAAAACCTTCTTATTTCCACATATTTGTTTCTCTCCACTTTGTTCTGTTTCATTTTCTTGTTGTCTCTCATGTCTTTGTTTAACTTATTTGTTGTTTTTATTTGCATTTCCTTCTTTTTCACTTTCCAATCAAAGCCCACCGCTCCCCCATTTCACTAACACCCAACACTGACACTAAGACACTAGTGTTAGTGACTGATTTCCAGCAACAAGTACAGCTAATCTTCACTCTTTCCTCGTGGGATCGACCATTACTTGTCCTGGACTACTAAATCTTTTTAGATTAAACATAAATTGTATATTCAAGGTAAAATTACAAATGATAGCCTCATGACAAGGCCGCAACACCATACTAAGCAGGTCCAAAATGCTACAACCACACCAGCCACTAAATTTTCTAAGGCTATGCCTTGAGTCATTCTCCATTCCAAATGGGTCACATCATGACTATGTAAACCCGAGAGTCGTCAGTCATGCCCGTGTAACAAAATTTTTTCTCCATTACGAATGAGCCATTTCATTAGGGGTGTTCATTCGGTAAAACCGTACCGAACTGAACCAAAATTTCGGTAAAATTATATTTGTACCGAATATTGAACCGTATTAAATCAGTTCGGTATCGTTAATACCAAAATTATTTCGGTTTAGTATTCGGTAATACCGAAAAACCAAATATTCATTTAATTTTCATCTATACTTCACTTATTTTATTTTCAATTTGTACCACAAGCAATCTCATTCAACATTTAAAGAAATTAGAAATACTTTATATTTTAGCTATAGTTAGTCATAAATTACTTAGTTTTTCATATTATTAAAAGATTATCGAAGCACATGATTTTGATCCTGTAAAAAAATTGAAATATAAAAAAAGAAATCAAAAATTCAAAATAAAAAAAGTATTCTATCAAAATTTTTAAAAGATCTTACCTTTAGGCATCACTAATTTATTGCCATACGAAGTGAGGTCAATGTATTAATCATTTAGAATAATTGAAACAAAAAATTGAAGAAGAAAGAGTCAAATAGTAAGCATGAGAAAATTTAGCTAGATATGGAGTATTTTTTTAGAAATTAAAATTGTGAATAAAAGGAAGGATAAAATAATGTAGATCACTATATGAGTTGCTAGGACTCAAGGTTAGAATTCAAACTTCAAAATATTTAAAATAGTAAAATGGAGTAATAATTTGGTATTCGGTAAAAACCGAATTACCGAATTACTAAGCCAAACCGAACCAAAATTTAGCAAAAAGAAAAACCGCTGAACCAAATTATTCGGTTTGGTTTCGGTACGTACCGAATTTTTGGTTTCGATACGGTTCGGTCAGTTTACCGAATTCTGCACACCCCTACATTTCATGACCCTATCAAACCCCAAAGCTATTTCTTCATTAGGAATGGATCATGCTTTTTAATAGTTTGAAAGAAGGCTCATGGAAAGGTCTTTGAAGGGCAATCAACAAGATCTCTTTTATTTGACAGAACCAACTTTGTATACTTGAAGAAATGCATGAGAGTTTTTATTCAGTCAAATGACTATAATTCATCATTAGTGATTAAACACAAAGACATGATGCCAATGAGCGTAGTTTACAGAATTTAACTTCCAAAGTTGGAAAATGAATAAACTAGGGAGAATATAAAAAACCTGTAGCAAAATTTGGATGTGGTAAATTATTTACAATCCATCTTGACAGCCTCTGAGAAGTTCGACAACAATCAGTCTAATTCTAGCCAAGATTTGTCGATCGTCAGGGATTTTCACAATTCGAGATGGATTACTTTTGTTTAAAGGCTGAAATTATAGTCTTTGTAAAATCAGCATTATAACCCTTGTTATTACTCGAGTTTCACAATTTGGTCATGCTAGAGTGCAACAAACTATAGCTTGCTTGTCATGCACCTTCTTTTGGCCAACTATGCAGGAGAATGTAAAGCTACATGTGGTTCAATGTGACATTTGCAAAATGATAAACTCGTTCAATCGTGCACCTCAAGGCTTATTAGAGCCTCTCTTCCTATCTATAACAAAGTTGGGACTCCATCGCAGTGATTCCATTGAACAACTACACATCTTTTCAAGAAAATAAGCCATCAAATCAAGGGGGTTACTGACAAGTTGTCGAAGCATGCACACTTTGATGGTTCCCTTTTAATACCACTATGCCTCAAGTCACAGAAGCATTTCTTAAAGACATTATGCACTTGCATGGGATTCTGACCACCTTAATTTCAAATAGAGACTCAATGGTCATGAGTGCTTTTTAGAAGTTGTTTCACTTAGAAGGAACAATACTTGTCTCTAGTAGTGCTTACCATCCACATTCAAATGCAAGACATGAATTATTAATCGGTACATTGAGAACAAGTTGAGTTACTTTGGGGCCAATAATCCAAAATAATGGTATCAATATTTATACTGGGTTAAATGGCATTACAACACCTCATGGTATTCAACAACCAAAATGACCCCATTAGAGATAGGCAATGTGTGAGCTCTCCCTTTGTTACTATATTATGTTTCTCGTTCAACATCAATGGAAGAAATGCTCACAATGAAATTCAACATCATGTTGACTCTTACGCAAACTACTAAGAGCTCAACAACAAATGCAAAACCAAGCTAATAAACATCGCACAAACATCTGTCCAATTCGAGCCAGGGGATGGGGTTTACCTCAAGTTTCAACCTTATTGCCAATCCTCACTTATCATACATCTCACAACCCTCAAAGAGCTTTTTTGAGTCGTACCAGATCTTTACTGAAATTAACAGTGCCGCTTATAAGGTCTCCCTCCTAGATGATGAAAAGATACATAATGTGTTTCATGTTTCAAAACTCAAACATTGTGTACGAACGGAGTTTGACCCTGCATCACTTGACATTGCACCATCAGAGTTCGTGGATCAACAACTAATGGTTAGTCGAGCTGCACTCTAAAGTTTCACATGGTTTATGTCAAATGGAAACTCATCAAACAAGTGCTAATTCAAATGATTAGTCACCTTGTTAAAGATGCAAGTTGAAAAATCTGGAAGATGTGGTAAAAGAGTTTATCAATTTCAATGTTGACGACAAGATTTTGTTTGAGGACGAGAGTAATGATGCAAACCAAAGATCCCACGCCATGTTTGTGTGACCATCAAGCACACAAAGAAAAGCAACCTCTAAACAAAGCTCACCATTAAGTATCAGGCCTGTATTTAGGTAAATTACAATCAACATTTTATCTATTAGAATCACATGGATCTTTTGACCTTGAAACCAAGGTGATATTATGACTGAGGGCACCTGTGGCGCTCCATTGATAAAATTGATGGCTCCTACCCCCCTAACATTCAAATTCATCCGTAAACTATCTCAAAGGGGGGTCATTTTGGTTGTGAATGCTAGGGTGTGTTATAGTGACATTTAGGTTAGTATAGGTAGTGATACCACCATTTTAGATTATCAGCTGCAAAGCAACAAAAATAGTTCTCCACGTACGAGATAACAACTTCTATATGCCCATCCGACGTTGGATATGATGGCAAGCACTAATGGAGGCTAGTGTCATTCTCTGGGCAAAACAACTCCTTCCAAAACCAACTCATGAAAATTAGGTCTCTATTTGAAGCTATTATGGTTGAAATCCCATGCAAGCACACAATGCCTTCACCAATGTTTCCACGACTTCAATCACAGTGACATTAGAAGGGAACCATGAAAAGTGTGTGTGCTTGGATAGCGTATCAATAACAGCCATGAAGGCTTATTTACTTGAAGACCGTGGTAATCATACGATGAAATCCATTACAACGAAGTCCCATATTTTGTTAGGGATGGGAAAAAATTGGATTAAGCGTAGAGGTGCACAATTTAATGATTTTACTATTTGGCAAGTCTCACACGCAAGGTCAAGTCAACTCCATCAATTATTTGGGGTTCATAATATGGGATGGATTATTTCTAATTAAAGGTTATTTTTGAATTACAAACTTATGACTTCTGAGATATTGCCATCATTTCTTCATTGTTTGTCACCACAAACATATCTCATGCATAGGTGGATGCTAATAATAGAGGGGAGGGAAGCTATTTGATGAAGTAGGCAACAAGATGCCATGTGTGTGACAAAATTGTGCATGTGCACGTGCCTGGTGCACATATTTGTATCACAAATTGTCAAAAGTTGGTTGTTGTTAAAACTAGGGTGGTGATCATTGCATGTTTCAAGGCATTGAAGATGGTGTAGGTTTTAGGTGTCCATAGATTCCCCATTCTTTAAAATAAACTTCTCATGCTGGATGGTCTCTGGAAGATAGGCTCTTTGGTTTGCAACAACCAAATGTTTGTTTTTTCTTAGATGCTTTCAACAATAAATTAAACAAGGAATACAATCATGCCATGCTCTAGTTTGCAAAATTTTGGACATAATTTGTATATATATATATATATATATATATATATATATTAAAGAACCTAATCAATTGAAAACAAATTAAATCAATCATCATAAGTCGAACTGACATTAATTTTGGGACAGTAGTATATTACCATATACGGAGTGTGATTGATAGTTTCTATCAAGTATTTACAAATTATAACGAGCGAAGATGGGCATTAGGAGCAACAAAATTGACCGAATGAAGATAAAAACAGGGATGAAGGCAGTATTGGGAATAAGTTTAAGTTTTCAAACTACTAGAGATGTATTTTCACTTAAATAGTTTGTTTTGTTTAAATACAAAATAGAACTTAAAAACTATAAGCAAAACACATGTACTCCCTCCGACTAGAATTAGTAGTCTACTTATTTACACATGTCAATCTTAACAGGATGAAATGACAAAAAAAACCTTGAAATTAACTTGTCGACAACAAGGCTAATTTGCTTTATAGGGACAATTTTGATATTTTTCAACAATAGGTTCACTTAATCTAGTAAATGAGCAATTAATTCCAAACACCCAAAAAAAGAAAAAAAAATAGACAATTAAATCCTGATGAAGAATATATTACTTATGGAAAATCACATCAGATGTATACAATGCGTGAATCTCAGAGAAGTGGACCTATAAACTCTCAATTCAAAACTACGGAGTAGTCCATAATATATTTGGACTATAATCAACTATCAATTTGCAAATTGAGTAGAAAATAGAACAAAACATAGCATTTTAAAAATTCATGCGGATTTTTTTTTTTATTTTTTTGGCCTTTTTAAAGAAAGCCCCATAGATGATTTTGCAATTTTGGAACCAGTAAGACGCCACTCCTATACTCTCTAAAACATGAGAAAAAAGAACAAAAAATTTGTCACTTGATCACCATTCCAATGAGAAGTTGCAATAGAGAAGAATAACACAGCAAAGACAAAGAGCTACATCACTTACACAACTATACAAAAATCACCCAAAAAGTCATGGACAGATATTACTTTATCATCAAACCAAGCCTCGGCAGGACGGGGTAAGAATTTATACCTGATTATTACTTTTTTGGGTACATTAGATATGGATCTTGAGCTATAGTCAATACGTCAGGCCTCTCTGCTTGATTATATGTCAAACAACGGCGAATGAAGTCCTATAAGCCCAAAAGTAACCAAAAAAATGCATAAACTCTCCTGCCTTTTAAATTTTAATTTAGACATGAAACTCTAAGTAAATATGCTCAAGGAAGAAAGCACCTTTGTGTCACTAGACACGGATGGTTTTGAAGGAAATTCGACTTTCCGCGCCTTAATTATGGTATCTTCTCGTAAAATTCGTTCTTGTGTCTGGTCATGACCAAAAGGACGCCTACCAAATAGCATTTGATACAGCAAAATTCCAGTAGACCAAACATCAACCTATAACCAATGGAAATGTCAACTTTACCAACAAATAACAAGTTACAATTGCTCTATACAAAATGATAATACTGAGCCATAGTATATAGAATGATAGTAACAGTGGCCGATCTATGTAAAGATTTTTCTTTTCTTTTTTTGGTGCGTGGGTGGGGGGGAGGGGGGGCATGTTCCCCTAGGATGGAAAAAATTACAACACCCTCCGTCACATAGAAAGAGATGTTTCTCAACATAATTCCCAAAAAGAGTCCACTTTGAAAGAAAATATGCTAATTTTCATTATATTTCATGTATTTAAATTAAAACAGTATGCCAAACAAGTTAAATATGTTATACTCAAACAACAGCAGCAACAACACTACCCCAGTGCCTCAAAGGTTCCCGCCCATTGCGGGGTGGGGAGGGGGGGGGTTGGATGTACGCAGTCTGTCTCCTATGTTTAAAACAAAGAGCGGCTGTTTCTGGATGGCCCATGATGAGTGGCAAAAGTTGCATTGACTAAATGTTACTTCACTATGAAAAAGAAACGCGAACAGTTTAAAGAACCATTTTGCTTATTCCATCATACCCAAAGCCAAAAAATAGTGAATCTTTGGCTCCATGTGAGATGATGGAAGGTCTTAGTTAAACATAGTAATGTTGGGATGACCCGGGGGAGCTCCGGTGCCTTGTTCGTAAAATTGACGGTTCCTACCCCCTAACCCCCACCCCGCCCTGACCCGAACACCCCCCCCCACCCCCTTCAATTGCACCCCCAAGTTAAGTTTGACTTTGGAGTCAGATTTGACTCCAAAGTCAAAATTAACTTGGGGGTGCAATTGAAGGGGGTGGAGGGGTGTGTTCGGGTCAGGCCGGGTGGGTGGTTAGGGGGTAGAAACCGTCAATTTTATGGACGGGGCACCGGAGTGCTCCCGGGTGATCCCATGACATGGGGTTCCAATGTCATGGGAACCCCACCCTTAAAAAAATCTACGTTGAGAAGCATGGTCTACTTCTCCTTATTAAACGGAATAAGACACTAAAAGCTCCTAAACGTTGAGTAGCATTCAATGATGTGAAACAAAAGTGACATGAAGTATAAGCCCATTTTAATAATTTATTAACAGCAGTTTCTGACCTTTGACGATATGAAAGGAGTCTTGCTTAATTCAAAGCACTCCGGAGGTAGATACCTGATAGTTACAGCAGAAATAATTAACAAAAGAAAATAAAAGTAATATTCTTCACAGTTAAAATGTTTTTCTTAATAAGAATTGTGTCGCTACTCAACAAGATACTTTTGAAGATTGTGTGCAGGAATCAGAAGGACGCTTAGAGCCTACAGAATAAGCAGCAGATAACAGGGTATCAAAGCAAAACAGCTGTTCCAGAAGAAGGAAATTCAGAACAAGGCTCTCTGATAAGAAAGATGTGTGGAAAAGGGGACTATTTCAGAATAAAAACATAAGTTTGGTGATGCAAATTTCTTAATAAATATAGGGTTTCCACATGAACATGGATGGGAATCGCAAATTCCATTAAAGGTGGGAAAAATAAACTTCTACATTCTCCTGTTTTCGGTTGTGGGAATGGCTGGAAAAAAAATAAATCGACAAGTATTGTTGAATCTGCAGTTGCGACTCCAGCAACTCCGTTCCACAATGTGAAACAGGAGTCAGGACTATAAAAGCATTAGATTTTAGAAAGAATGGATATGCCCAATGAATATATGATTGAAAAAAGAAAACCAATATGATAATAAAATGCTTGACTACACAGTGAAGAACAATACCCAGTTACAAATGCACAACTCACCAATATGTTCCAGCTCCCTGTGATGTTAGCTCCATGCCCTGTGACCCAACGTCATCCTCTACTATCTTACTAAGGCCAAAATCAGTCATTTTGGCAATACCTAATTCATCAAACAGAACATTCCCAGGCTTCAGATCATAATGGATAATCTTCTGTGGTCTTTTATTCAGGTACACAAGGCCATGGAAAATCTGAATTATGATAATCCTGGCATCTTTTTCTGATAAAACAGGTGTTGCCTTAAGAACTGCATCAAGGTCTTTTCCTGCAGAAAAGAAGTTGCAAGAAATTACTAAATCAACTCTCTAGTAAAATAATTTAACTATCCTCACTGTAGCAAGAGCCAAAATGACAAAATTCAGTCTCTTATTTCTTTTTACCAGCAAAAATGGAAGTGTTTGAGATAGAGAGAACATACCACTACAGTACTCCAAGACAGTGCAAAATGTGTTTTGGTCTATCTCAAAAATGTCCCAAAGACGCACTATGTGATTATGCACCAACGTTTTGTGGATGTTGTACTCCCTGATTGCATGTCGTATATAGCTTTGTTTCTTCTCTTCACTCCACTGAGCATTTAGCCCATGTAGCTTACATGCAACGTATCTA